GTAAGCCAAGCACTGCAGCCAATCTTTCCTCTCTTCCCTCATTACAGATCATAAAGCAAAGAGCAAAGAGAACACCAAAGTCCGATATCTATTGTGGCTTGTTGGTAGATAAAGCCTGGTCCCTGCTAGCAATATTCCTTCGAGTCCACCTTGGCGTTACATCTCAAGCGGTTCCACGAAGTATTTCCCAACGAGCAAATGATCTGCGACGCCACAATCCTTTCAGACAGAAAAACCCGTTCGATTTCATTGCCGGCCTTATTCGCGGCAATCTCGCCTCGCCTAACCCCCTCCATCTGCTGAGGATCTTTCGCTCAACTTTGATGCCAGACTCTTTACCTTGTTTCAGGCAATAGCTCGTTCGCATTTCCCCGATAGGTCCCACTTCCTATGTACCTCGTTGCTGGCACTTTTATACCTGAGGATCTGCTTGTTTGTTGGTTCGTGGTTCCTGCATTCGATATCGCTCGCAGTTCACGATGTCGCACGGTAGTAACAGCATTGAGTTGGAAGCTTCAGGCAAACAGCAGCCTGTCCCTGTGAGCTTTGATGCTTCGGCGAGGCCACCCGAAGGATCCAACATCTACAATGTCACGCGGACGCGAAAGGTGTTTTCTTTTTCGCAGCTCTTTGCTTTTTCGTTGACGTATATGGCATTATGGGAGGGTATGTGCTCGTAAGTTATTCTTCCTTCGTCACGGTCGCAAATATGCTGATGGTCGTAGAAACATGTACTTTGCCCTGTTCAATGGCGGACCCCAAACGTTTATCTTTAGCTTCATCATTGTCTTCTGCGGTGCCATCTCTCAGGCTGCGTCGTTGGGAGAAATGGCTTCCATTCAGCCTGTCGCGGGCGCACAGTATCACTGGACATTTTATATGGCACCTCAATCGGTGAAGCGATTCGCGACTTGGATCCAAGGATGGTCTACGTGGTTTGGCTATGTCTCGCTGTTGGCTGCCATTGCGAACGTTACTATCATCCTCCTCGAGTCGATGATCAGCATCAATCATCCCACCTATGTCGCTGGGGGTTGGCATACTTCAGTTCTCGTCATCGCCATGTGTTTGGTCCACGGATTGATGAACATCTACGCCTTCAAGCTTATTCCATGGGTTGAACTTGTCGCTGGTATTCTTCACGTTTGTCTCTTCGTCATCTTTGTCGTTGTTCTTGTCGTCATGGGCCCTAGAAACCCTTCGTCTTTCTGGCTACAGCGCAATATCTCTTCGGGTTGGGACAATGAGTACATTGCCTGGAATCTAGGCATGCTGACTTGCGTCTGGAGCTTTACTGGTAAGTTGCTATGAGAGTTCCCACCGTGACCTCGCTGATTGTTTGCAGGTTTTGACAGTGCTATTCACATGTCCGAAGAGACCCGACAGGCCAAGTCTGCCGTCCCTCGCGCCATGTTCTGGTCCATCTTCATGAACGGTGCCCTCGGCTTCATTATGGTCAACGTTCTCATCTCTGCCATGGGCTCCGTAGAAGACATGCTTGAGCAGCCCAGTCAGATCCAGGCCATCCTGCTCAACGTGACTGGCTCCAACAAAGCCACCACTGCCATGATAGCTGGTCTCTTCATCATATCATTCAGTGTCAATCTTGCCAACATTGCATCCGTCTCTCGTCTGACGTGGGCTTGGTCTCGTGATGGCGGTATGCCTGCTTACTTTGCGTATGTCAGCCCTACTCATCGCGTGCCTACACGTTCCATTATCCTCACCGTCTTCCTCGTCTGCGCTCTGAACCTTCTCAACATTGGCAATACATCCTACGTTGCTTTCGGTGCCATTACATCTCTCTCATCTCTGGCTCTGTACCTGAGCTACGCTATCGCCATTGCCAGTATCATCTACGTTCGTCTCTCGGGATCTACCATCAAGCTTGGAGAGTGGAATCTTGGTCGCTTCGGCCTCCCAGTCAATGTCTTTGCTCTAGTTTACACACTCTATGTCATCATCTTCCTCCCCTTCCCCTCAACTCTCCCAGTCACTGGCGAGAACATGAATTACTGCGGTCCGGTCATGGTAGCGGTCTTGGCTATCGCTGTTGGGTTATGGTTTACGCATGCTAGAAAGCATTGGAATGGCCCCAACTTGACCATTCTGGAGTTTGTTGTTGCCAACGCATCGGAATGATCATGAGGAATAAACGTTTAAGTATTACCATACATATAAGATAGAAAACTGTACCTTCCTTGACCAATCTTGTTCTCAAGATTGACTGGCTTCCCCTCATTTCTGAAATGCCACGTTAGGCTCAGGGCTCATGTTCATGCCCCTTCATCTGAAGTAATCGTTTTTACTCATGATCTCATGTGTGTCTCATTTACTGTGATATGTAAAGCCTCAATCATGAAAGCCTCGTATTTGACATTAGTTTTCTGATTAATGATTCTCTTTGAGGTTTTGAATTGGTATTTCGTTCTTTTCTAACAAACGCTAATACGTGGTCGGTACCGAAGGATCGTCAAGGCACGTCGGATCGCCCATGCCAGGCTGAAATACGGGAAAATTCTTGAAAGTACTCTGTTTAATCCTTCAGGATGATCTGGAAGCAATCTCACAAATAATTCGAGGCATTCTTCCTCTTGCAGACAAACCGAAACCAAGATGCTCAGATGCAGGGTAGCTTACTTAGAAGCGCGTCCCGAGCCGAGACGTGATCAGCGACCCGGTGAAATACCAGGTAAACTACAGGGATTAGTAGGTGCTCCATCCGCTGAGTGCTTTCAACAGTCATCAGTTCTTGACGCAATATGTTGAGAACAACCTGGTACACTATCGGAACTCAAAAGGGGACTTCCAATACAAGCTTTCCCAAGCTGAAGTTAGATTGCTGAACCCATGCTTCAGCTGCTGTCCGGCCATTCCGTAACTATTTGGCAACTATTGACGGTTGGTGCTATCTTATCTGTTAGCGCCTACGTTCTCTTTTTAGCGACATCGATAACAGGCCTGTTAGCCAGGGTCCAATCTTCAACCAACAGCTGTAAACTAACGACCAACACTTCTTGGCACATTCCAGATCAGGTCTGCGTCCCATAAATGGCCGTTCTAGAACACAACATGATCCATCGCAATGACAGCACTGCAAGCGACCTGAGCGGAGTCAAATGCAGGGGCGCGTAAAATCTTCCTCTTCGGTTCCTCGCTGATCAGAATGCCAAATAAAGTGCTCTGTTGATGCAACGTTGTCTTGATGGGAATAAGCAGACAAGAGTATTTAGGGGCTGTGCCGCATGTTAGCAACAGGGATAGGTTCTTTGGCGCTGACGTTCCTTCTCGTAAATGGGACATTCAGCTGCAGTTGGGACTGCGCAAGATGCACGCTCGGACCGATGCTGTCATCACTGTCGTCTGACATTCGTCTAACTTGCCAGGGAGTTGGACTCGTCACTGCTGTTTCACAACCTTGAATAGAACATCAACACGCGTCGTAGTCTTCGCAGATCACAGTCCTGAACATTCAGTAATTGACTTATAGTTACATTGATAATTAACCATAATGAAGAATTAGTCGGAGAATTGTACTAGTAGTACGCGTCGGATGTACGCTTCGAGTGCTGGTCCTGTCTGACCAATGTCATCAGAGATCCCTGTCTCAGACTTACGATAAATCCAATTAGCCTCACCAAAGGGTCCTCCGTGACTCCACATCGCAACCAACCAACACCTTGGTAGTCTGTGCCGCTATTGGAAATGACACGAAATGGTACTGTCAGCCCAAACCCAATTTCCCAATTCTTACAAAAGGTTGTCTTGGCCCCAAGAAATCCGTCAGCCAACCGTTCTTTCGTCCTGTGTCTTGTATCCACTGGAACCAATGATAAAACAACTCATACCGGTATCGCATTCGACATCGAGGATGGATGTCATTACTTTTGATCGACTCAGCCGACAAAAAGGCGTCATCACTGCTATGGTACTTCTTGTACTTGTTGGCCTTGTCATCCATATTTACGCCTTCATCTTCTCGCCAGCTTATGGAACTATGAAAGTTGGACGAACCTTTATACCTTCGACTGCCTAATATGTTTGAAGCTATGGCACCATATCAGCATAGGGTTGCTAAGGTCTTATAATCGATCAGCAGCAGCGGCGACGACGACCTGGACCCTCAACTGCGGGCATGTCGGCGACGGGATATACCAACGAGTCGGCCCCAACAGAGTAGGACACTGGCACGAAATTTACGATAAATAAAGAGGCTGATGGAGTTGGAAAACGAGCGAAGATTGCAGACCATATCTGATCGTTATTGCGCAACCTCCTCCAGCTCGAGCCTACACGGTCGAAGCCTCTCCCAAACGAACAAAGTGCCGAGCCTGCGAATATCGACCTGTATTTCCTCAACAAGTCTCTCAAGACACAGGAGGGCATCACTCAATATCATCCTACGGATTGGAAATTCAGGCTGCCCCGCGAAGCAATTGCATCGACAGGGATCACTAAGGAACACAAATACCACGATAGATGCCTGGGGCTCTTTGCAAGGCATGGCGCTACTTTCAGGTCGCCTGAACTTATAGACGGAACCGAGTGGCGGTTCGGAACATTGTTGCGGTATGCGAGTGTGATGAGTGCGAGCAGCAGCAGACGAACTTAAAGGACTGGAAGAATGGAATATGTTCAGAGGAAACCGGACACAGTTCAGGCAACTTGGGTCCCTTTTCTTGAAAGACAGTCCTTGGTTCTTGGTCCTCATTCGACATGAACCTTCATAACCAGTGCCTCGCATTGGCATTCTACGAAAATTGGAAGATACAATCATCATAACGCAGGCTAGACCCCCACGGTGGATAGGCACCGTACTATGGCTCTGAGTGAACCACAAAAACTTAGGATGTAACTAAAAGAACTTTTTAAATATGATATAGTATTAATATTATGTGCTCCTCGGCAAGGATTCACTCTCTGATCTGGACGCCACGCTTCTGATGCTTGATATATCCGAAAATCCATGAAAGACGCCCAGTTCCGGGTCATACAGCCCGTTAGACATGCCCGATTTCCGAGACTCCCGCTTCTTTGATCTCGTTTCGGTAAGCCTCACCCTTGGTGGTACAACGGTTGGTAAACTGATCGGTGCTTGTGCTGACTCTTCTGTTGTCGAAAGCCCTGGAAGAAAGTGGCGAAAAATGGGCCGTAGCATGGGGAGACACGCTAGAACACCTGTCAGTAACGAATGTTGATGAAGTGGCAAAGGAGGTTAGTCCGTACCGGAGAAAACTGCCATATTAATCTCGACGGCTGCCCACATCATATTCTGTGCCATATCTTTCGGTATATCGTCGGTTCGGGGGTTATATAATTTCGAATGCACTAAAACAAATATGGACGCAACGCAGACTCTGTACGGTGTCAGAGGAGGGAATTGCCAAGAGAAGCTCAACGTACATGGTTCCGGATGTAAACAGTCCAACAACAGCCAACTTTTGCGATAAGGGTAATGTCATCTTCATGACTTCGATGACGGGCAAAATCAGGATAACGCAGTCCATAGTCGTATGTATCAGAATCGTAGCAAAGAAGAAATTCGCTTCGTTAAACGGGCATTTAGCGCCTTGTATGCTCTTATCCCAATACGCTCGAATCGGCACGCAGTGAAAGATGACCATGAAAGTCCGAATAGTTATCCATATGCTGACGGCGACAAGCAAGATGATGATGGCGTATCTAATTGAGGTGTATTGAAATACGCGCCAGTAAAAGCAGAGAATACTGAGTTTGCAGAATGCAATCGATGAGGCGTAGAGAAGTTCGCAGATCCAGAGTAAAAGTCGCGATCGGTCTTGGATTCGGTTTGCTTCGGTTGGGTCTGCGATCGTGAGAATAGATTGTCCGAGTTTGTAGCTATGAGTCCCTAGAGGAGGTAAGCGACAGCAGTCGGAGCTGGAGGTTGCTGCGTACAGTAGATTGTGACGGAACAGTAACTTGATACAAAGAGCTGGAATGAACTATCAGCAAGTGCGCATTGGTCCCAAGTAGCGATCAAGTCAATCCTACCAAAGCGATTATGGCGAAGTAGTCGTCGAACCAAAGCTTCATCTTGGTCATTCGTCGCGCCTTGAGTCGCAGACCGAGGGCCAGAAAGGCCGCGACCCAAGTGATGCTGATGGCTGCATAAATATCGGGCTGTAGCCCGGTCATGACGTGTCCCTGTATCGCTTCCTTGTGTCTGTTTACAACGGTCGCAAGATCATCTTGGGCATCAAAAGAGCCCAAGACAATGACGATGAAAGAGGAGAATTGATTGTTATCTCTGCCTCGGCCGTTTTACGAGCGGGAAACCATAAATAAGAGGGAAAAAGGTCATCATTTGTCTTGGAAAGAAGCCTTGGCGTTTGGAAGCCGAGCTCTCGGGACCAGATTTAAATGTGCCATCGCCGGTGGAGGAAAATCCGGGGTTCAAGGCCCGTTACGGTGCTGGGATCCGCTGAAAGACGGCGTTGGAGAGTCAGTGAGGTTTAGCTCATATCGGAGGGGAACCCGATGGCTTTTAATGTTCGCGAAAGATACGAATTGGTTAATATTTAAAGAGCCTAGACTACTACTTAGAATGAAATGTAAATTTTTGTGGCTTTTTTAATGGTTATTTTGGTGTTTATTGAGTAGGAGTTTTGTCTGCCAATTGGTGGATCAGGTTCTGTGATGTTGAACCCCTCTTTGGACCGGAGGTTGAGCCGTGATGCTCCGTGATGATCATAAATCGCTATCTCCGTGGAGACTCATGCTAAACGGCTCTTGGTTAGTTACGATGCCAAGTTATCGACTTCGCTTAATGAAATGAAACTCAATTCGTGGTCAATCAGTCATGGACGAGTCTTTGGGCCGCAGTCTCATTAATGTAAAGGGTTTTCGACGATCGTTGATAACTACCGCCAGTTGACCTGTAGCTACGATTTCGGCTCTGAGGACGAAAGAATTCTCCCCACCGGAGCACTTGGACTTGTGATCAACGCAACAGCACTGACACTCAGAGCCGGCGCTAACCAGTGGCTTACTGATTTGATTCGCCCTGGCACTCAAAGAATAGTGAGATATCAGCACCTTATTTCGTCTTCTATTGCTGCGCGGGCCAGTCATAAATCATTAGGCTCCCGTTTCGCAAGCCATTCAACATCTGATAACGAGTTTGACCAATTACATTGAGGGTCTCGTATTGTTGAACGCAGTCTCAAGCGGGCTGTTGGAAAGAAACAGATAAGTGCACGATCATCCGAGTCGACGGCACGAGCCAATCAAACGTACTATACATGGACAAAATCAAGTTTCTAACTGGCAATGGGTGATTTTTGTCGTGCGGTGCTGAATTGGGAAATGGCCTAAAACGGGATGCACTCGTTGATCTCATCGTGTATGGGGGCCTAAACGCCACTTTGATGCATCTTCAGTACAGCGCTTTCACATGAAATGCTTCACTATCTGTGTTTGCAGCCTAAAGCTTAACCTTATAGGCCGCCTTCATCCATAGCTTCACAGCACAAACTACGATAAGCCGCAATAAAAAGAGAGAGTACCGATCGCTGAACCAAACCTATCATGGACCGGCCCGGAATGTTAATCTTTTCTCTTCCTATCCATCGTCTGGAAGCAGTATCCAGATCCGCACATCCGCATATCATGTCTCGGCTGCACGCCCATTACAGCATCCATCGGCCGCTGCGAGTCTGCTTGCAGTCCAATCGCAAACGAATGATATCATTTATCCTGCACAAGGCAATCACATCACCTGCCGGTAAAGCCATCTACTGATGTAATTTAGCCAACACATCATGCCGAGCGCGTTGCAAAGAGGTCGAGAAGGGTATATACAGACGTCGAGTAAACGTATTCGCTGGTTGGTAATTCGCCAAGGCGCTCACTGCAACCCACTTTTTGAACAACAGCCTGTAAAGCCATATTGGCCCCCAAAAGTTCCTGCAACCTATTTCGTCATTGAGTCTTGGATTCTGGAGACAAGCTTGGATACAAGAAGCTGGAACTGTCTCTGAAACTGAAGTTGTTTTCTTCTGTCGCATCTTGTTTTGCGAAACTCGTTAGCCGCCAACATGCTTTTAACTGAAGCCCATCTTGAGACTCCGCAGGCCTTTGGCGCCGCATTCATTGTCGGAGTACTCGTGCATATCTTTGTTCTACGTAAAGGAGAATGGGACCTTTGGACTGTTAAGCTTATCAAGGCATGGGCAACGTATGAGGTCACTGTCTCATTGTTCCTCACCCAACTCTACTCTTTCTCAGTCTGGCAAGCTCTCTCAGTCACCAACAAATGGTTCGCATCGTTTGTTACGGGTCTTTCAATCAGCATCTTGACGTATCGAGCATACTTTCACCGACTGAACCGGTTCCCCGGTCCATTTCTTGCTCGCCTCTCAACATTCTACGCTACTTATCTTACAGTTGATGAAGAGCATATGTATCTTGAAGTCCAGAAGCTTCACGAGAAGTATGGAGATATCGTGAGGATTGGCAAGTTGACTTAAACTACTTACATGCTCTCGACTAACTACTCGAAGGTCCCACTGAGATATCAATCGCAACACCAAGTTCATTCAGGCCCATTCACGCTCCCTCATCCCCGGTCATTAAATCACCGTTCTATGGCATCACCCATCCATGGGTAATGCTTCTCTCTGAGCGACGAAAGAAAGAACATGCCACCCGCCGTAAAGCATGGGATAGAGCGTTCACTACAAAAGGTACCGAGCCGTTTCACCAGTCTCAGGATATGAGTGCTTACCACGAGCAGCCCTACGCGATTATGAGCACCGAGTGCTCAAATACACCAAACTTCTCACTGACCGCATCGATGAAGCAAAGGGTAAACCATTCAACGTAGCCCTATGGGTAAACTTCTACACATTTGACATCATGGGTGATCTTGCCTTCGGAAAAAGCTTCGACATGCTAGAAAGCGGCGTCGAACACAACTTCTTCACAGAGTCCCACAAAACCCAAGGCTTCATGGGCGCGTTCCGGCGACTGGTTTGGTTCTTCCCTCTTGTTTCATCTATCCCAATCGTGAACAGTTCGTTTCTGGCTTTTCAAGCCTATATCAGGAATCAAGTCGAGACTCGACGAAAGGTATGTATGCTCAGAGCAAGACAATACTCGACTAACCCGTGTAGAATAAACCGGCGGAACCAGATGTATTCAGTAGTATCCTGGAAGATTACGATGCGATGGAGAAGCCCACTCAGCAGGACTTCGATAACCTTTGTGGTGATGCTCATCTCATTGTTATCGCTGGCAGGTATGACTGGTCTGTAACAGCAACGTGTAGCGCTAATATCTCAGTGATACCACTTCCTCTTCCACGACTTGTCTCTTGCACAACCTCGTACTCCACCCCGATGTGCTGGCAAAACTCCAGGCTGAGATTGATGAATACAAGAACACCCACGACGAATATGATCTGGTTTCCCTAAGCAAGCTACAGTATCTTCAAGCTTGTATCGATGAGTCACTTCGTCTTTATCCTGTTGTCCCATCAGGTGTTCCAAGGATGACTCCGCCGGAAGGAATGCAGCTTGATGATGTTTACATACCCGGAGATACAATTATACATAGTCCTTCTTACACCATGTACCGAGGTATGACTACGGAGGTATTGGCATAACTAAGTTGCTGACCGGACATAGATGAGCGTTGCTTTGAGAAGCCGAACGAGTTTATTCCTGAGCGATGGACTACTAAACCGGAGCTGATCAAAGATGCATCGGTATACGCTCCATTCCATACTGGTAAGGCTCCCGTCGTTACCTTTATCCGAAATAGCTGACATGATAGGTCGTGGCGTTTGTGCTGGAAAGCAACTTGGTCTTATGGAGATGCGCTATGTGCTCATGGATATTCTCTCACGATATGATATTGATTTCGCACCAGGGACCAATCCTCAAGCTTTCATCAATGGCTTACGAGATTGTTACACTTTGGAACTGCCAAGATTGGATATGGTGTTCACCCCAAGAACCGGAGCCAAGGTCGAAGGATAAGATATTTGTTGATGGATGATTTTGGGGGGATGTAGGAAGAACGGACTGCTATCTTCAGAAGGCCGAGTCATTGTGTAGCATCAGCTATAGTAACCGACTAATATGGAACCCATATCACTAATCATCCTTATGTTTCTTTGTGGCTGATTCATCACACAGCGCTGCACCCTTCCTCCAACGACTAATGTCAAAATCAGGATATGGGTACGCTGTGATGTTAATCAGCTGTTCCAACGGCGTAATCCATCCATGTGTCGGCATCACACTGCATCCTGTTAGCCAGATCCACCCACCAACACCACGAATACTCACGTCGCAGATCTTGGAAGACCATCTTCCAAAAGCTGATCAAGCCACTGCCTCATCTGCTGCTGATTACCCAACTCAACACTCAGTCCAGCCTCCCATGTATCAGCCTCATAGACAAATATGGAGGAGTTTCTATCAGGACATCGCTCTGTAATCATTACATAAGTCCAGTCAGCTGCGTGAGGCGCTTGATCAGCCCAGTTGAACCATGCTTGGACCTTGTTGTCGCGATGAACGTATGGGTGTGTTTGACTAAACTTTGTCAGCGAAATAGTGTATTAGAGGCTCGACGTACTTGAAGGTGATGAATTCGGCTCCTGGGATGCTGGACCAGTAATCCACTGCCATCTCGGGGATGATTAACTTGGCACCGGCACGGACGTAATCCGCTATCCCTCCAGTATGATCTCGGTGATGATGTGAGGGCTCAGTTGTTAGTGAATGGCCGATCTTTGCTGTCATATACGTACCGCGACGTAAGCGACCTTCTTGCCAATATTCTTCTTGATCCACTCCATGACAGCCTCACTCCAGAAAGGCGGTGCATCACATACAATGACTTCAGTCTCAAACTCAATAATAAGCTGCTTGAAGCCAAGATCATGGCTATCATCAATGATAAGCCAATACACCTGCAAAAGATCAACGGGCCTAGCTGATTTCAACGCCTCCGCGCTGACATTCTTGACAGGTGATCCGAGCAAACTCGTGCTGTAATCTGTGACAAGACCACTGGGAACACCAGGAGGCTTTTCCGATATATTTACTTTCTGACCGTGAGGAACAAGATCGAAGAAATTGTCGCCCAATTTTGCTGTAGCGTTGATCTTGTCAATGACAAAGTCTTCGAGAACCACGTTGAGCCGTTGGCTAGCTGAGCTGTATATGGTCTGGATAGTGTGAGGGAATTTGATTCCCTGTACTTCTTTGTAATTTGCAAGGTATACGTCTTTTGTAGCATTACCGTAGATTGGATGTTGTTCTTCTGAGCGGACGATATAGGTAGGTACGTCTTGGGGTCGACAACCAGTAAGAGCTTGTCAAGATTGCTATAAACTGTACGTTATCAGCAGAATAATCTATTATGAGTCTCGAAACATACTCGCGGGAAATTTAATGCCGTTTATATTAACCTCGCGTTCTTCGGAGCTTTTTGATCGTCGAATCTTGATGTGTCAGCGTGATATCTGAAGGCTCGACTATGTACTCGACTCACCCGCTCGACAAGACCTGGAGACATCATGAGAGCCTCGGTAGCAAGATTAGCAGACAATGCAGCTTCCGTAATTAGCCAGAGTCCCATTTAGACCGAAGAAACCAACCATACCATCTACGCAGCCAGCTGTAACGTTCCGGGGAAGGTAGACTTGGTTGTTCCCTTTAACAAAGCAAGCAGAGTTACCATCGCCAGTCCAGACCACGAGAGAGAATTCCATGGGCTGAAATCGAGGGGATGCCCATCCCCACGCGTCTAAAGTCGTTAACTACGGTCACACAATGTATGCTGCACTCACGTGAGGGCTGGAAACGCCGGTCGATCCGTTGTCGAAGCAATGGGCAGTCTACTTCGTAAGAAATGTTCTGCGTTCCGGATGTTGCTGCCGATACATCTGCGCGCATGAGATTGTAGCTTTGCATAAGGCTTCGAGAGCGATAGATTCTGCCTTCATAAGCACGGTTGTTATATATTGAGGAAGCGATTCACCTTTGGCATTCATATGTTACTTTATGCAGTTCCGAGAGACCCTCTGCGCCAATGGCAGCTATTGCCCTTTCGAGTGTCGAGTTTGCACTAGTGTCACGGATATCCGAGGCGAAACAGGGTTCTGTGAGGCCCAAAATGGCCATGGAGACTGTTGTTAGCTTCATATTCGCTGCACGAGCGTTGATAAACGGAGCAGCAATGTCTGACCAGGGCTATCAAAATTTGCTTAAGAGAAGCACGGTGTTAATGCCAAAGGCCGCCGCAAGGCCAAATGAAGCTCCAAGAATAAAGCAAGATTTAAGAACAGCAAGATTGTTTACTCCATGTTCAATGATGACCCTTCGTCGCGTAATAGAAGCATGATGGCGCCATGGACACGGAAGTTTGTGTCCTTGGCGTTCCTGGTTGCTACAAACATATTACATGATAACGATAAGCGATGGGTCTGATTAGTGTCAAGGAATCACTTGTTGAATTGTTCTGAGATTATTAGCTGTGCAATGGTATGTGGGAATAGGCAACCCGATACGGACCAACCCAGGATTCTTGGCCGCTCTGATTTATGATCATCACGTTCAAAGCCTTGGACGAGAAGTGCGCTTGTCACTTTTCAGTCACTTAGAACCTTATCAGACATAAAAATGCCGTGCGGAAAGCCATTTGCTCATTTGTCTATTCTAGGTTTCATCTGCTCCACTAGTAGTACTCCGCAAGAAAGCTTCCAAGATAATCACCCTTTCCAATAGGCACGCCCAGTGAACGTAAGATGGAGTAGCCAGTGACGATGTGGAAGAAGAAGTTTGTTTGTCCATGGTTGAGTGTAGCCTCCTTGACGGTGAGAGTAAGGGTCCTATCAGGCCGGGGGCTTTGAGGGGTCAGTGAAATGTCGCAGTATATACTTTTGCGGCAAAACTTACAGCTCCACCTTGACATCCTCTCGTGAGTTAACATCCTCCGGCTTGACGCCCTTTACAGCCTCAAGAGCTTTTTGGATGCGGGCGTGCAGGTCGGCAATGGTCTTTTCATTGTCCTCGAAAAATGTGGGCTCCACGCCTGTCAATCGGCCAATGGTGGTCTGAACAGCCCTGGTGGCAGTTTGCACTTGGAAGACGAGGGGAAGTTGATCTTCTACGAGCCTGGCTTGGGGAAAGACTTCATCGGCGTTGAGGCCCTTTTCTTTGGCGTATTCCTCCGCCTTAGTGAGGACATGGTCAAAGGTTTGTAAGCCCTTGGTGAAGGTGGGGATGATGAGGTCGTAGAGAGAGGTAGGCATTTTGATGGTGGATTGGTAACGTGAGGTGACAGGCTCGAATAGTGAATCAGGGATTGATTAATTGCTATGCTTTATATGTTTCATGATTTAGAACGGTAAAGCTATTCATATATACAATTTCTCCTTGATCGCGCATTTGTAATGCGAAATTGTGCGATTCCCCCGTCGAACATCGTATGCCGACGAGCCGTTACCGGAGCAAAGCGGTGAGGCGCGAGCTGAGTGAATTAGAGATATTAGTCAGATTTACTAATTGAAATCGTTATCGAAAATGACGAATGCAGTACTGTTGCGACTCTCTCGGTCATCACGACCCTAGTCGACCCTATGGCGCGACATGTCGTGATGTGGGGTTTGGGCACGTCATCTGCAGGAACCTCACGCAAACGCCGATGGCCCTGGCCAATTTTTCCGAGACGCTTCACGACTATGAATGAGTAATTAACTGTGGCTGAAATTAGAACAGTGGCAGTGCGAGCAGAATGAGGACAAGGTTTGCGACTTGAAGTTCCGAGAAGTTAGTTGTGATAGGATTGGGAGGTCGACAAAAGCTTCGGTCTCAGGACACAAAGGTAAAGAACACAGGAAATTGACAAAGTCCATTTGATCTGACTTTCTTGGTACAAACTTCAACCTTGAGATAATGCCTAGAGCCCTCGAAAACTCGTAGCTGAAGACATTTGGTAAGGGTATGCGGTGAACATGTTTTAGGTCAGCGATGCTTCAAATAGGCATGATCCTTTCTTGCAAGTCTCGATTCTCCGGTAGTACTACTGTCGTTGACGCCTCATCTTTTGTCATGAGAAACTCGGAAAATTATCCTTATTAGCCAATGAAGCTTTCACTCAAATTGCTGCCTGTTTGTGGTTCAGAGTTTGTTCACTTTTGATAATTGATGGGAGTCAAGAGACTTCAGCGTCGAAAGTTTACTAATACTAACATTTATATCCAGCACGGCCTATAGTGTTTCCTATTAGCTGAAGTATCCGTGTGACCTCTAAATAACTTTCAGATAATTGAACCTTTCATTTATGAGAGCTTATTTATTCGCGCAGGCAAACATCATAAATATAAATATATAAGACCAACGAGGGACGATGAATATATCCATCATTACTTATGATGTCTACAAGAGTGTTATTCTGAGCTGACAGACCTCACAACCAATACTCACATCACGCACCTTACACGACTGCAAACAAATCCATTTCAACTTACGAATCCCTTGTGTAAAAGTATAGCCGCAGAACACGATAGCCATGGCACCTTTTTTGAACAAAGATGATTCCCAGAAACCCCGGAAACCACCGATCGCGAGGACTTTGATGAGACTCACAAACACTCTGTGCACTATATCAGAACAGAGACCCTACGACACAGAGGCACAGAGACGAGCCTTGGCAGGTATCGAGTTATGTCGCCGCAGGCTTAATTTCTCTCGGCAATGGGAAACATTCCTCCAGGAGCCAGAGATCAAGTGCAGGGCAGCGGATTCTTCTAGCGCCTCACAAACGCATATGGAGTCTCGGTTGCCTACAGAGATCTATATCATTATAATTAAGCATCTCATCAACGATAGGTATGGGAAGTCACCGGAGCAGATGAAAGTACGTGCCCAGACTTTACATTCTCTGGCATCTAGCTGTAGAATGTTGCAGGTCCTTTGCGAGGAGAACTTGTATACGCACCCGAGATCCCAGCGACTGTCGAAAAATGCCGTATCACATTGGCTATTTTTGTTCTCTCTGACTGTTGAGCCCCGGAGAGCCCATCAGGTCCGGTCACTGAGTTACGAGCCCGAGCCACACTGCATCTTTCCCACTGCATGGCAAAGCACTCTCAAGCTCTGTACCAATCTGACTCGTCTTGGACTGGTTTGGAGACATCATATCCCAGAATGCGTTCGACAACACATGCAAATGCACATGGGCCCAATATTTGCTGCTTGTCCCAAGGTCACCGAGTTCAAGTATGATAGCTGCTACGTCAGCAGTTATGATGAGCCTGAAGACATGACTCCAGAGCAAAGGGTCAATTTTTCGCAGCAATACTCAAAGTTTGCGAAACAGCTTTACCACTTGGAACTGCTTGGTCCATTCGACTGCATCAAGGACATTCTTCATTACGATTACCCAAATCTCAAGTCTTTGGCTCTTGATATGGGGGACTATGAAGAGGAAGGCAGGTTTTTTGGGGAGCTATCTTATCATACTCCTGCTTTGGAAACATTAGTATTGGATTGGGTTCAGAGCGCCACTTTGCAAGACCTGCAGTGGGGGTTCAAAGCATGGGGGAAAACATTACGGTCTCTTTATATCAACAACCCCGTGATCGACGATGACCACGATGGCATCCTTGGCGATCTACTGCCCCATCTTACAAGATTGGAGGACCTTGGTTTGGGTGAATGGCCGTCATTCCTTCTCTCAGATCTCCATGCCATAGCTCAACCGAAGGCTCCACGTCTGAAAACCTTCCGATGGGTGGCTAGTGATGACATCTACACTCGCGACCCACTTGCGAATCCAGAAAACGTTAGCAAGGCCATAATCGACATCTTCATTGCACATAGTGAGACTCTCAGAACCTTCATGATAGAGGAATCATTCACCTTTTGGAGTTTCGGCACGTATATCTTTGAGCACCTTCACAAGGCAAGGAATTTGGAGAATCTTCGAGTACAGCTGCATGATATACCTACCAAAGAAGACATTCAAGGTCTTCTGACCGCTTGCCCGAAGCTTGGGAAGTCGGAAACGGGTCTCATGGTGGTCAAGGAGTTCTTCACTGAGTGTACCTTGACGACTAGGAAGTACAAGGAGGATAACTTTGAGGCAGCGGCGAGTAGCTGGGGAGGTAATATATCACACTGCGGGGACTGTGGCAAGGTAATAGAAAGGCCAGTGTTCCCGTAGGCGTCTGCATATTTCGTTAGTTCGTAGTTCCAATATTACGTCAACTTATGCGTATATCCATCTACACCTTGAGATTCTACACCGGCAGCGTCGCAAGTTGGAGAAACTGTACAGCATGCTAATTGTCAATCGGCTTGTGAATGGCTGCCCGATATTCGGGATTCTCAGGTTGATAGCAACAAAAGACGAGACGGCGTAGGCCACGGACTGCGTCAGTTCTTAGGTTTCGTCAAAAAGCTTGTATTGTCTCGGCCAATCATATCAACCTCATCGAAGAAAGCGAAATCTGTCATTTGATAAGGTTCAGCCATTTTGACACTTCTCGAACTTTGCTTGCCTGAGATTTCGGATTTCAGGCTGCCACTGCCACTAAAGTTTGCAAAATAAAGACAGAGTTCATGTTCTGTGCAGAAAAGTTAGAGCTGATTTGTTGGCAGGTTTACTCTTCTGATGACGCTTCACAACGAAACCTTTTTACTATTAATTCCGAAACGCAGCCCAAACCCTCATACAGCTTGAAACCTATAAATCAAGCGACATTCCTTCTGCCTTCCACCTGTCCCCTTCCTGCATGACCTTATACCTTGGACCAAACTTGAGCAGAAAGAAATACAGCAGAGTCACTTCTATCTAAATCTTTCACCTGGCAAAAGAATTATTCCTGTCATACTATCCAGCTCTTTTTCGAAGTTAACGGAGTACCTGATTGCTTGATTGCCATGGAGATTGCCAGGCCACCAAAAAGCTTGCGTCCAGACAGATTCCAACAAAACATCCAGGCACTGAGAATCATCGCACAGCAAAGGCCTGATGACCCTGAGGCACAGCGTCGAGCTCAAGTCGCAACAGATCTGTATCTTCAGACCTGGCCACACCACATGCTCCCGACGCCCGTCAAAAAGTCTCGCGTAACAGGCTCGATTCCCAGTCTCCCCAATGAGATTTATGAGATGATTTTCGGCTACATCCTCGCGGAGCATCCAACTAGTAAGCGTGGTAAAATCAGGCGAGCCAGGACAATACTATCTTTGACCTGCTCCTGTCGGCTTTTCCAAGCAATCGTCGAGAAGTACTTATATACACATCCACGAAGTAAAGGATTCTGGAGAGATCAACATTCCCTCTTTCTGTTTCGGTTGTCTTTGGCCATCGAGCCAACCCGAGGACTTCTGGTTCAGTCACTATCTGTCAATATTCAACTCCCGTACCACAATTACCTTTGGGTTGAGATTGCCAAGCTATGTCCGAATCTCAGTCACCTGGAGATACTTGAGACCACCGACGGGCTTTCTCACTCACAGCTTGGATACCTGGAAAGGCTCTTTGATGCCTGCCCAAATGTTACGAGGCTCAGTCTTAATGCAAGCATTTCTGACTATAACGACAGTGTGACGTTTCGGACCAACGAAAGATTCTTCAGGTTCTGGAGTCAGCTCACACACGTGGAAGGACTTCCGCTTTCGGAACCAGGAGATATAATTTCGATCTCTAAGAAGTGTCCCTCACTTCGACGACTGAAGGTTGACGGCTTTGGATCCTCCCCGAAGACTCTTTTGGATGCTTCCAAGATATGGGGCAAGACTTTAAAGACACTTCACCTCGATTGGTTCGAAATGCCGACCGACACTACTATCGCGCAACTTCTGGGAAATCTACCGTCAATCGAAGAAGTTTGTCTCGGCCATTTAGACAATCTCTTGCCATCGATCCATGCTCTGGCTCATCTAAGTCTACCAAACCTCAAGCGTCTTCGAGTAGCGAGCTATAGCATATGGGACATCGATCAATCACCGAAAGTCGAGTCAGCTATATGCGACATGATTGCCGCTCATGCTGATACTTTGGAGAGTCTGAGCCTCCCATTCTTGTATGATCTCGATAGGCGTGTTTTGGAGGCAATCAAGAAGGCAAAAAAGTTGGAGTTTCTCAACTTAGAGGCCTTTCGGGTTCTGACTGATGAAGAACGTGAAGAGTTACGAGCAGCATGCCCTAAACTTCGAAGCTTCGTTAACTCCTTTGACGGATACTCCTCGAAAGGTATGGACTCAGAATTCGACTGGTCTGGTACAAACTGTGGCAGCTGGGGAGTTATCGCTGATGAGTAGGATCAATACCAGTTAGACAGGTATCAAAGCATTTTTAGACAAAGACTCGCAATAGAGTTTGGATACTGGGCTTGCGCAGTCTCTTTGAGAAGTTCTCAAAACAATATAAGCCAACATTCCATTATATATACCTAATATGTGCAATTGCATATCAATGACTCTTGGTGCAACTTTGGGAATCCACTTAGGCAGCTGAGTTCTGACGTATACTTATGTGCAAACCCGAGCAGTGCGCGCTTGCTGAGTACGTAATGGCGTGTGTGAGGCGCGTGATGTNNAATAACACTCTTATCAAAGTCAATCTAGGGAGTATACCAGCCACCTAACACAACTGCCTAAGATAAGCTTTATAAGCCTATCTGATGATGATTATATCTAACGCATGAGTACGTAATGGCAAGTTAGATCCCATTAAACTTTCATTATGAGGAAGAGTTTGTCTTAAAGCTTGTTGCGATAAGCTTTCATTATACACAAACCTTCATTTCCGCCCATCTCCTCACGAATGAACATACGTCTTGGCCCCTTACTAAGAAGCATATTTTATTTTATTTCTCCTACAAATACTGCCTCTGCCTGTTCAGAAAGCTTCAACAGACCATACTTGCAATTATTTGCCAGACGACATCACGTGGCTTAGTAACACATACTTCCATCACAAGAGGAACTGTATAACCACTCAGAAGACAAGTACATTTCAGGCAACCACATTTATCAGCGTAATCTGCTTACAATTACTCCAGACAAGAAACTTAATCGTTACAAATCACGTGCTAGGGCTTTCCCACTTCTTAAAACCTTGGTACAGCCAGACGACAATATGGCAGGCGGTCATGCTAAAGTCACGGTTGACATTCCCCGCCAGGTCACCAAGTCAATGGGGTCGCGAGACGGGTACTCGGGTTCCCCAACCTCCTGGCTTCCAACAGAGATATATCAAATGATCGTCAATCATATTGTGTTGCACTATGACCGATGCAACGACGATCAAAAAGCAATCCGAGCCAAGACTTTATCATCCCTAGCTCGTACCTCCAGGACCCTCCAACGTCTCACCGAACCATATATCTACACCTTTCCAGAAGGCTCACGACTGCAAATTTCTCAAGGCCTGGAACGGTTACAGCAATCACTGGCGGCTGATTCTCGTCGAGCAAACCTTGTCCAGGTTCTCGACATTAAGTGGGACACTCCGGTATCCTCCCGAAGACTGGTTATAGACATAGCAAGACGGTGCCCAAATTTATGTACCCTCCATTTGTATTTTCCTGAGGCAGCTTCTCGGAGTGACGAATTCGGCCAAACTTATGTCGATAACTTGGCTGATCTGTTCTTCGCCTGTCCGAAAGTCAGAAAACTGCGCCTCGCAACGTATTGCGAAGAAGCCCTTCCAATACCGGCACAGGACGGACGGGTTGTTGAGTTTGCTGGACAGCTCTCTCATGTCGAGGTGGATGCCGGGGGTACCTGGTTTCACGAGTCCATGTTGCCTTATCTGTCACCGAATGTAATATCGTTCGTCATGATAAACCCTGGATCTGGGGATCATACAGGCTTCCTCAAAACCCTAGGCCAGCGCTGTCCGGTCTTGCAGAGACTGAAGATTATGTGCCGGGGGATAACTTTAGTAGACCTTGCGGCACTCTGCAAAGCCTTAGGTTCGACACTCAAGGTGCTGTACCTTAGAAATTTGGAATACGACAGAAGTGTCCTGAGCTTGTTCCTTCCTCACATGCAAGTGCTGGAGCATTTGTACTTGGGAAACGAAGTCCCTCTATATACCCAAGACTTGGACTCCATGTCTAGCCTGTCACATTTGAGAACATTTATCGCTGATGGTGGAGAGGCTGAGTGGGTGGATGAACCTGACAAATTCTTTTATGGGGAAGAAGCATTAGATGTGTATCGGGCTGTGGCTAGATTCCTATCTGCACATATGATGACACTAGAGACGATGTGGATAGATGCATGCGACTGTGCTTTGAACGAGGATGTCTTCGAGAGCTTAAAGCTAGTGAGAAACTTGCGTTCCGTGGGCCTAGATTTGTGCTACCGTCTGAAAAGGGAAGAAGTCGTCGGTCTCTTGGAGGCTTGTCCTAAGCTTCAAGAGGCATCGGATATTCACAAGACTCTTGAAGAGGAGTTTGGAGATGAGGAGGAGCCGTATGGGTCTCTCTTGTGGGTTGAATATCCTCCTCAAAAACCATGGTTCGAGAATGATTTTCCGCATAGCAGTAGTGGTTGGTCAGATGGCTTACGCCAACCTCAGCTTAGGATATAAACTATCAAATATCAACTACAAACAGATAATTAAGTATCATGAGGTTTCTATGTTTCATTAATAATGCCATCCCGATGTGCAACCACGCAATCCCAGTTGATTAATCGTGGGATTACCCAAGACCCAAGACTCTCGCCCCTAACCCCTCTACCGAGGTAAAGGTAAAGGTGGATAGTATTGTTATAGCCACCAGTGCGTGATCTAGAATGCACCGCCTTGAACCGAACCATACTTTCCCCAAGAAATTAAATAACTTTAGTAACTTAGCGTGATTTTAGGGTGCTCTTTGATGAGTTTGCTCGAGAATATATGGTAAAGTTTTCTTGATCCCTGACGCCCCAATCTGCTCAAGTGATCGAGTCCGTTTGTTTACCATATCAGCTAAGACAGCAACATAGTGATAGTAATAATTAAGTCAAAACTGATGCCAAGCATTTTAACTTGTGTCAGAAATCCCCATGCATGCTCGCCTTCATCACCTAACATCCCCAGAACTTTAGTTGCTCATAATAGTGGCCTTATCGCTCTTCTCGAGAACATCATCCAGCATCTGAACGGTGGTACTGTCGTCCCTGTAAGCCCAATGAGCGCGCATCTGTCGGACAGCCTCGTAAAGTCTCTCGGGCGAGGCTGCGTCATAGCTGATGAAGTCGATTTTCTTGCCATGGTCTTGGAGCCAGTGGAGTAGGTAGACGATATCGCGGACGTCAGAGTTGAACTTGACCACAGATTGAGGGCGCGTACTGCCGATGTATTGACATGAGCGCTTCATCTTGGTGAGAATGAGAACGCCGGGGTGGAGGATAGGGATCGAACCTGTATAAAGTTAGGTTAGATATATTATAAACAGCGCGAAGTGAAGTGATTAGTCAATCTTGATATACAAATCAGCCGACCGACCGGAAGAAGGCCGTTCCGAAGCCATAGGCAATTGGGTTGTGCTCCGCTTGAGGTGGCCCCGGGCAGGGTCCCCGAAGGCTCGCCCGAAGGTACGAGAGGCCAAGCAACAAGAGTCAAAGCGGGAAGAACTTGGTATTAAGCTACCTAGGCGAGGGTATTTCCCTCGCCTAGCATCAGGGTGTTGTACTTACCATCTCCCGGACGGAGGATTGAGAATCGGCGAGGCAAGCCGAGCATGCCACGGACAAGTGTCTCGATCGGGACTCGCAACTCCCACTGGTCATTTTTTGGTACGAAAAAGAGCTTGAGGTCTGAGATTATGAACCGCTGATCTGCTTCGCGAAGAAGCTGCACAAGATGAGGTCGAAGCTCATTCGGGTTCGCATCGTCCATGGCGACTTCGACATCGATATCGAGGGTTTCGCGGTTGCTGCCTAATAAATTCAAGGCAAAACCGCCAATGAAGGCATGCTCGATGTTGGTGTCTGTGAGAATGCGCGAGAAAGCTTGGGCAGCCTCCCTCATGTTGACTGGGAGCGGCGGCATATTGGTGGTTGTGTAATGAAGCTTATGATTTTAGGATAAGATATTAAGATGAACTGGTCTGAAGCTCGTCTAAAATACACTGAACTTACCTAGGTTTTATGCAATTTATGGTTAAGGTCGACTAAAGTACTCTAAACTCATCTAAGCTTTGTGAAACTTAGGGCAAAGGTATTGGCAAAGAATTGGTGCCTACGATTGCAGGTTGCTAGTGGCCGATTTATGGTGCAATGTCTAACTCGTGAGGCAGGCAGCCAGGGATGTCATTTGCAGTTGAGATTTGTGGCTGAGAGCTTAAAACTAACCTGCACGTACATCTCCTCTGTGATAAAGCCGAGAGTTCAAAAGAGTCTTCACCACAAAGAACTTAGACGTGACGGATTTATTTTAACTACGTGTTCTCAACTTTAGGTTTGAGCCACACTTCTGGTCTACTTCTTGTCGGCAAATCGTCATACGACAGCTTCCCAGATACTAGCTGAAGCATCATATCCCTTGCCCACTCCGCCTCTTCCGTAAATTCCCATTGCTTTATGCTACTAAGAGCATTTGCCATCTCCAGAGCATCATTTTCAGCCATTTTCTCCTTTTCAGCAGCGTCTAGATGCTCTAGATCCTCCGGTGTAGGCATATAGTCCCCTTCATAGCTCATATCGAACATGCTGTAGCCGATGACGCTTGCCAGATCTGCTTTTGCTATCGAGCGAACAGTACTTCCAGCATTCTCTCGCATGATGATGCGCAAGTAGGCGGCGCAAAAGGCAGGAACATGCACCGTCCATAAAGAACACGGCAGTGTAGCCAAATCAACAGCTACGAGCTCCTTTTGTTGAATGCTAGTCCAGGAAATGGGCACCAGGATGAATTTGTGACTTGACTCCCCATAGACATAGCGATAACTCTTCTCTGCGTATTCGGCCATATAGCTTAGCGGTTTGTTATCGTCTCGTAAGCCACAGGCTGATGCGATGTGTCTAGCATCGTTTATTTGCTCGTCGGGAACCAAAAATAGTAAATCCTGTGGTCAAAGGTCAGCATCGTGAAAGACATGTTGCGCTTGAGACATACTGATTGATGTGCAAGCGGATAGCCCAAGCGCTGTAGTAGAGGAGTCTCCCATTCCACGAGAGTAATTTTATTTTCCTTGAACTCGTTCAAGATCTTGAGCACCTGATCGTCAGTGACATACTCCATGTTGTTTCATGACGGAGGAATGGTGTTGACCCATGAGATTTGAGAAATAAACGTGGGGGCAAGCTATGCATCACGTGCTCCACCGAAGCTTACCATTTGCAGCAAAAAGCTAATGTCGTCCTTTTGCCCAGTTGTCCAGATCCTCTCCCTGAGATGTGAAAATGGCTTATCATCCGAATGCATGAAGAGTAGTAAGAGTACGTAGACTAGTAGATAACGTCAGTAGATAACAGCAATAACCGAGTAATCCCGGTCGATTAACCACGCTATACCCCATCAAGAAAGAGATCCATACCCCCCTCTCACCGAATGATTGACAGCGATCTCGCAATTGTATTTATCATCAAAGATTTTTTCGCCTCATTCTTTTCTAAACCTGTCATTGTATTTTTACTCCAAAATGGCGAGTGACGAGACTACACCACTTCTCCCCCAAAAGGGGGATGGTAAAGGACGAGTAAGAAACTGGTTATCGAGAGCTTTCAGCGTCGAGAATCGTATTTTGCTTGCGGGGTTTCTTATCACGTTATCGTTCAGTTTTACCCAAGTTCCGTGAGTACTTTTTGTTAATTGAGGGGGGCAGAAGCTAATGGGTTGTAGATTGTTTTATGTGTTTCATTTAATGACTTGTGATTCGTTTTATGAGTCGCATCCTTCTTACAATGGTCCCGGCGATAGGTGCAGTCGTGACGAGATTGCGGCTGGAACGGCAACTCAATACAGTATTCTTGGCATGTCTACTACCTTTTGCGGTAAGCCAGGTCAATTGAAAGTCAAATAATGGATGCGATACTGACTGTTACAAGGAACGTTGAACCTTTTTGTTGCGGGCTGGACATCGAAAAAGTTCGGCCCCCGAGCGGCGCTTTTGTGTCAGATTCTCATCCCAGCAGCTCGCGTGGTCACACAAATCTTGGGAGTCGTGGCAGGTGGAGAAAAAGGAATGATCATCATTCAAGCGACTCAATTGATTACAATTCTAGGCGGTCCAGCTGGGTACATGTAAGTCAGCTACAAACTATTGCTCCTCAGCTGCTAACTTTGGCCTCAGTCTTGTTGTCAACGTCATTGCTGGAGAAGTTGTCGAGCCGATCAGAAGGACAGCAGTATTTGGACAGCTACAAGGCGCCATCATGTTGGGGCAAGCAATTGGTTATCTAAGCGGTGGTATGATAGGTGACGCGATCGACATCCGAGCTCCTTTCGACGTTGCGTTCATCTCCTTCATCCTCGCGGGTATTTACGTCTGGCTCGCCTTACCATATATCTCACCCGATTTAATGTCCAATGGGGGCAAAAACGGTCAAAAAGGCGTCTCTGGTTTTCTCGCGCCTCTCAAAATCCTCACACCGCAGAAATTACGCCTCGCAGACGGAAGAGTCAAGAAGCATTTCGGCGTCATCTTCCTCTGCAGTGGCATATTCGTTTCCGTGCTCGCAACTGGTTATGCACCCCTTCTCATCCAGATGTATGCGACAGCGGCGTTCAACTTTAGCCAGGGTGATAACGGCTGGCTCATGTCGGAGTTTGCGTTCATGAGAAGCTTCTTCCTGATTCTGCTGTTCCCGAGGATCATCGCTTGGGGACGAGGTCGTGTTATCAGATCTGAACCAAACAGCGATGATGAAGCGGAGCCGGGGCATATTCCAACGGAGGCTGGGGAGTTTGATGCTACGTTGGGGGAGCAGGCTGATCATGAGCCGTACGAGGCGGTCAGTCGCACCAAAGAGGACGAGGGATGTCTCTTTGATCTTGTCTTTCTCAGATGGAGCTTGTTAGTCGATGGTCTGCTTACTACAGTTGCCGCTTTCGCGACTAAGCCGTGGCATATCTACCTTGGTACGTTTTCACAATCCCCTACTGAACATCACTAACGGAATAGCTGCGTTTCTTCTCCCATTCGGCTCCGGATCGGCGCCAGCAGCAAAAGGTGTTATTACACAGATGTGTCCCGACTCTCAGCGCGCCGATGCTCTCAACGCTGTTACGCTGGTCGAGAACGTAGCACGGCTGGCTACCCAAGGCTTGTTTGGCTTCATCTTTGCCAGTTTGGCCGAGGTTGGCAAAGCATATGCCACTTTCTTCTGCAACGCGGTGAGTTACTATTGTACAATCTTTGGTGGACGCAACTTATCAGTTACTAGGCTATTGCTTTATTGGCTATGGCGGTTCTCTTATTCTCCAACTTCCCGCCTCCCGGAAGCACATTGATTGAGAAGCATGAAGAGGAGGATGAAGTTCAAAACGAGGGTAGCGAAGGCGAGCCTCTCCTGAACGACAGAGACTAAAGGCTTCAGACACTATTAAAATAGGGGACGGAAAGAATTGTAGAGGTGACCACCAAATTGAATCATGAACATGGCATGCATATTTTAGCGGCGCTTAGGGGGCATAATAAAAGGTTGGAGTACATAGAAATAACTTCCATTTAATGAGTATTTCTGTCTATCATTCACATTAAGCTTCTCTTAAACCGCCTCCTGGAATGCTGAGTCCACTGTCTAAAACCTGTGATGAAGGGATTTCAGCTAGTCTTGTGGATTAATTGACTCGCAATCATCATCAAACGCTATAATTCCCCTTCTTTGATCACCTTCTGCTGCTCAGCTTCAGCTTCAGCCATGGCCGCCAGCTCTCTTTTGGTTGGGGGTTGCGGGGGTAAAGGAGACTGAGCAAAAGCTTTGAAGATCGGAATCCAATCACGCAGACATTTCCCTTCCAGTTGAACCTCGGCGTCTCTGACGGCGATCATAAGAAGCACTCGGAGCGTGAGGTGTGCATCATTTCCCGCTACGTGAAGATTCTCGTAGGGTATCTTGAACTCCTCCAGTAGCTGCTTTAGACTGTATCTGTACCACAACTGTAGCGGAAACTGAGCTGCTTTTACAGTGTCTATAATGAAGACAGGTTCAAGCTTTATGTTCAGCATTGAGAGCAGTGAAAGCTCCTGCTTTGCCCCATGGACAACCAGAACATAAGGCTTCCTAGTGAGCCGTTCAATCGCGGGTCGTACGTGCGATAGCTTAATCGGCTTCGCTTTCCCGAAGAAAAAGTGGTAGTTTTTCCATGAGAATGCTTTCTTGTGACCAAACACTAGATGATGAGATTCGATGACGCCAGATGTCAAGTCGCCGCCTTGCGCTGATTTTCCGTGTAGGTGTTGTAGAGCTTGTGCTTTTAGGAAGGACAAGCCAATCTCAACTCGTTGTATTGCACCATTTTCCACCATGAAGTGGTCAACATCGATGCTGAGAAATCCCAGGTCCTTGATTTTGGAATCACGCCCGCGTGGTACAGTTGTCTGCGGTATGCTGGGCCAGCTCGCGCCATTGAGCAATTTCGGATTCAGAGAGTAGCCAAAGATCCAGCGAGGCATGATTGTCTCATCTCTGAGGATCCCTTTGTGGGCTAGCTCGGCTGCAGTGGTAGTCATCATTCAATTCCAAGAGAGCGATGGTTAACAAATTGGTAGGCATGAAGATTGTGAGGTTGTGGACAGATAGCAAACCTAACGAGGGAGCCTCATGGACAGGGCAAAGCAAACTCAAATCTTTAAGCGAAAGTCTCTGTTGCTGACTGATGCTATTTGGTCCATGATGAGTAGAGTCCCTGTCTATTTTTGAACTATTATACACATAATCTATCTGTCTTGATCTCTCTGCAGTTTCGTTAAAAAGTCCCAACTACCTCGTAAGAAAGTGATGAGGGTGTCCTGTACATTAAACCTTTTTGATCCATTGTCCCCCAGTCAATGCCTGTCTCGACAGGATTGCAAATACAGCACCAGCCAGAATTGTAACACCACAAAAGATGATCAATCCAGAGAAACTTCCATTCTCTGCGCTAACAATGGCTCCGGCAACTGGGCTTCCAATAAGGACACCAATGGCCGAAACACCATAGAGTGCGCCACTACGGGTTCCGATGCTACGAACATCCGAGAAACTTGCAACCATAGCTGGTACAATAGACAAAGTGCAGCCGGACGCGAAACCATACAGAGCTGCATATGCAATGACCGAAGCTGTGGAGTGGGCAGTGAGCCATATTGTGAGAGTGAAGATGCCTCCAAGTAGGGTCAAAGGTATCATGACGTTGAAGACGCCGATTCGATCGCCAAAATATGCGGGGACAAGACGGCCAAAGGTGCTTTGCAAGTTGTCAGTCAAATTCAGGGAAGTAGTTCTAGGATTACTTACGAAGCCGCATTGACGATGGATACTAGATATTGAGCCAGGCTATCCGACACACCGAGTTCTTTCGCTTGAACAATGATGAAGTTGAAGGGCAAGAAGGAGCCCAGATACAGCATAAATCCAGCGACAGTCAGCAAAAGGAATGGCATTTCCTTGAATGGCGTGATGAAATCCTTGATGTCGAACTTCCTTCGGGGCGGTGGCAGTCTCGATTTGATGGTAACGTTGGCGATTACCAGCAGTCCCAAGAAGAGGAAAGCCACAGATCGCATCGCCCAGCCGAAGCCAACTTGGACAACAAGCTTGTTTACCATGATCGGGAGGACAACACCACCAAGGCTGGATCCTGCAGTGATAATGCCAAAGGCGATAGCGCGGTGACGCTTGAACCATGTGCCAGCAGCAGCGATAGCTGGGTATCGTCAGTTGTGCATCTCGGGATCTGAAGGTGCATACTTACGTGCGTAGAAGAGGAATGAGCACCCCAGTGCACTGCAGATACTTTGAGAGAGAATGATCTGATAGTATTTCTTCGATAGGGATGTCATCATCAGACCGAAAACGTGTAGAAATGAGCCGATGAGAATGGGAATACGAGGGCCGTAATTGTCTGTCATGTAGCCAACAACTGGGCCCTGTGAAATGTTAGTGAGAACTGACGTTTGGCAGAGGCCAGACGTACCCAGAAGAACAGCATGAATGACTCGATGGATGATATCCATGCTACATCGCTAGAAGAGTACGATTTGAGCTGATTCTGCTCATAGTAATCTTGAAAGATGCCGATACCTAATCCCTCGTCAGCTTCTCCCCCATCATCGAAAGATGAGAGTCACGTACAATTGATCCACCCGAAACTGGCAAATACAGCGAAAAAGCCCCCAGCGACAACAAGCCAAGCTTGGAACCCTCCATCAGGCGGCGGACCAAAGTCTGGTGCTGACGTCCCTTCTTGCTGCGAGGGCGCTTTTTCGCTATACTGCTCGATTTGGGAAGGGCGATCGTCGTCAGAGGCGGGGGAGGAGAGGGATTGATGACGGCTTGGTTCTGAGGCGGCCATTGCTGCGTTTTTGAGGCTGATGGTCGACTGTGAGGTGCTCTGAGGTGAGTGAGCCGTGGATTGATGAGAGAATCACTCAGCATGCTTAAGTTACTAGTTATATATCTGTTTGAATTCACAATGATCTACATCATGCTCGTTATCTTACAAATTCGACCCTTGGCCAATTCTCGCGAGATGGTTCCGAATATGGGATAGCTTCATCGGAGAGTGTTCGGCCTCAACCCTAAGGTTTAATCCCTGTCGGTTATCTCGAAGGATGATTCCGAATATAGTTTAGATTCTCGGCTTCTGACCCTTGGATACCCGCTAAAACGCGAGCTGACATCTCTCTACTGCGTTTCTCTTCAGTCCCTTGACATTCCCCTTCAAACCACGTTATACGCAATTGTTGTAAGAGATATCCCTGTCGAGGCTCTCGAGGTATGGTACTACATATAGCCTAGCGTATCCCTCACCGAGACCTTCGAGACCATGCTCATTGTTTAGCTTATTCGTAAGCATGGTTGGTGTTTCTAAATCCAAGGCATGCGCCGATTGCAAACGACGCCGCGTCAAGGTCTGACTCACTTTCCTTTCGACAATTATTCATCACTAAAGACTTTTCAGTGCGACCTGACGTCGCCTCGGTGTCAGCGTTGCACCAAGGCCGGTATTATCTGTCGTGGAGTTGGCAAACATCCTACCCTATGGGTCCATCGGACTCCGACGCAGCTCAATGTTTCCGCCCTCTCGGTCATACAATCGCAGCAGCAGACGAACTGGTTGAGCGTGCTACAACGGATGCGCTGTCAAATAAACTCGAAAGGAGCATACGATATACCAACTTTTCGATCACAAGCGCTTTCCATTGCAGTCAACATTTACTTTCCTCAAGGGCGATACACCACGAGCGAGGAAGACCATAGTTCAACGCCATCCTCGTGGCTCAAGGCTGTGTGTAAAATGGAAGGCCCTAGCGAAGCTTTGGACTACTCACTTGTTGCGTTTGTTGCGATTCAGATTAGGCTGTCCGGTGAAGTGGGCGTGTCTTACGACGAGGCCATTGAGCTATACAACCATGCACTATCCAAGGTTATTCACGTTCTTGACTGTCCTTGCGTACTAGGGAAAAACGACGAGAGTATTGCCGCTATTGTGATTCTATCCACTTGTGAGGTAGGTCAAGGAACTCTCAGATATTGAAGGAGATTGACCATCGGTAGCTCTTCCTTTTTCATGCGAGCACGAGCTGGAATGCTCACGCGCAAGGCGTATCTGAGATCCTTCGTCATCGAGCTGTCCCTGACACAAATACTGCGAGCTGGAACGACTTGTGTCGACGTCTCTGCGTGATATGTGTAGGACACGTTCCCGGAGCAGCCCTGTAATGTCTGCTGACTATCCCAGGTCATTCAAGCCCTGTCACAGAAGAAGCCTCTCAATCTTGAACCCAAGCTTTGGCGAGAGCACATTGGCCCGTGGGCTGCCCCAGATTCCTTCGGTGCATTCCTCGACATGACCATCGATATCCCGTCAGTCATGGCTGAAGCTTATGGCCTGGCCTCAAGTGATGAGGCAGATGGTGAAAGATTGTCAAGATACATCGATCTTCTGACTGAGAAGTTCTATCTTCTTGAGAATTGGCGAGCCCTTGTACATCGCAACATAGCGGTACGCAACCAAACGCCGCTATTCTGGTCTGTTCCCTCTAGAGCGAGTAATCCAGCAGACGATGGATATCCAGATAAGCTATTTCCATTCGCCCTGATGTTTTCATCTGTGGAGGGCGCCAGTCCATGGATTCTATGCTGCAGCATCATGTTAGATATCATTGAGACAATCCTGCTGCTTCGCGCAAAGGCTGCAAGCCTGGGTGTTTCCCCATCCCCTAGCGAGTGCCCGGATGGCTTTACACAGAAGGGCTCACCGACCCAGGCAGATGCTGACTATATCGCGCGTATGATGTGTCAAAGTATCGAGTATTGCTATCGGAGTGAGAATGGTACTTTCGGCCCGCAGATAACATGCAATGCCCAAACGACTCTGCTGGGGTACTTTGCGGGTCGGGGTATGAAGAGGGAGCTTGAGTGGTGTCGGGCGATTAAATACATGAAGGGACCTGGGACGAGTTTTGGGATTGATCTGATGCAGTTCAAGAAACCACCAGAGCTGTAGGCACTGGTTCGATGGGAGATGTTGGTGCGAGTGATTGCCGAGGTACTCCGTAGTCAGGTAGAAGATGCGGACATGATAATATTACATCCATACTTCAAGAAGGAAATCGGGCAGCGCAAAGATTCTCAAGTAAGCAGCCTCAGTCAGCACTGACGAAATCCCCACGACGGTAACAAAAAGCAAGACTATTGGGTAGATATGCAAAAGAATAACCAATTGCCCCGTACTGGAATCGAACCAGTGATCTTATCATTTCGTGAAGCCGTGAAGCTACTAGTGATACGCTTTACCACTGAGCCAACGGGGCTGAATCTCATTGGTTAGAAAGGCTGGCTTCATTAGTACTTATGACCTCGGGATCCGAGCATAGCAACTGTCACTACCTCAATTGCCTTAACTTCACTTGTATGCATCATATTGGTGTTGGCCAGGCTTCATGAGCCATAGTTACATTCATTACATAAATACAGCTTACTACAATACCGGATCAAAGTACTCTCCCACATACCTTCAAGCACTCAAGTTCACCTCATCCCCAGAACCAGCCTTAACGCCAGGCTCAACATCCATAACATCCCTGTTATGACCAGAAGCAGTAACAAGCCCAGGCTGCTTCTCCTTCAATTCCTTGAACTTCTTCTCAGCGTCCCAAACCCAGGGTGTATCAGCCGCAAAGAGCAGATCCATCTCTTCAAGAGTGCGCTGGTTACTCTCGGGATACAATGCCCAAACCATTGGAATGGCAATAATGTTGCAGGCTCCAAAAATATGGAGTGTGTTCTCGCCAATAGCTGAAAACATGACGGGACATAGAAGGGTTAACCATCCGTTGCCAATAGACCAGCCGAAAACGCCGAAAGCGTTACCTTTGGCTCGAACTTGGAGCGGGAAGATCTCAGCAGGGTAGAGCCAAGGAACTGTTAGCCATGTAGCTCCAAAGACCGAAGTAAAGATGAAGACGAAGGATGCTGCGGCTGCACCATATGAGCTAGCTTTGTCGAGGTCACCCGCATTGCGAGCTTCCTGGCCAAGTTTGGAGAATCCCGCGGCAAGGAACATAGCTATTCCTTGACCGACAGCACCCCAGTAAAGAGTCCATCTTCTGCCGATACGATCGAGAGTGTAGACACAAATGAGCGTGGCAAACATGTAGAAGATGTTGTTGAGACCACTGATCCATTGGGATTTGCGTGTGTCAAACCCGGCTATCCTGAAAATTGTAGGGGCGTATACTGTTACGCCTGCGATGCCGACCCATTCTTGCATGATTTGGAGCTGTAACTGTTAGTTGAATGACACGATAGCGTTGTGTAGACTTACCCAGATGACTAGCTGAACGCGTCGACCAGTATGAAGCTCCCCTGATCCAATGCCAAAGAACATGTGCAGATAAGAGTTCTTGGAAGACTCTTTGTTCTCAAGCTGAACTATGTTCTTGATATCGGTGTACTCGGCGTGGGCGCGGGAAAGATCCACCTCGCTCGACCCACGGAGACGACGGAGGATGTACTGGGCTTCATCGTCTCGGCCAACCTTGACAAGCCAGCGAGGAGACTCGGGGAAGAACCAGACGCATCCTAGCAGGACAAGCAGGGGCAGGATCTGGAAGGCAATAGGAAAACGCCATCCAAACTCAGAGTTATTGTTGTCAATATATGAGAGACCGAACTCCAACCAGTAGGCCACGACGACACCGAAGATGTTGAGAGTGAACTCGATTGCGATGAACTGGCCTCGTGAGGTATGCTCAGCTGTCTCGGTAGCCCAAACTGGAACAATAGCGTTGAGGATGCCGGTTCCTAGACCCTGCTGTCAGTAAAAGATTGGAGTCAACCTTGGTAGAGACGCATTACCTATACCGTTGACTGCGCGCGAACAGATCATCCAGTCGTGGTTTTGAGCTGAGCATTGCAGCGCTGCACCAACAATAGCCCAGGCAGCACCAATAGCGATAGTCTTGATACGTCCGACTTTGTCTCCTACCCAGCCTCCGAAGAGACAGCCAAACAGAGTTCCGAGATAGTAAACTGACACGATGCCGCCTTGGAGGAGACTATCGGTAATGACTGGTTCGCCGGTCTTTTCGTCAACATAGCCAAAGCCCATCAAGTCGATGTAATCTTTCGAGTTATTCACACCACCCATCATTCCTTGATCATATCTGAAATTGTTAGCGAAAAGACTGAACCATTGAAGTTGGGGAAAATGATGAGGTCATACCCAAAGAAAAAGATCGACAAGGCAGCAACACAATTGATAGCGATGAGAAGCTGACGCTTCTCAAAGTGGTTCGCAACATTGAAACCTGGAAGGCGCTCCATGATTGCTATTTGGCATTAGACTTGGATGTTAAGAAACTGACGATGATCTTGTGGGTAGGTGTTGCATTTATACTTGATGCAAGTGACTTGTTGTGCGGAGGATGAGACGCGAGATCCACATCGGATAACCGTATTTGCTCAATTATCAGAGCGTGTTAATTAGCGTGGTTAATTTGGGTGAGGGGCGGAAACATGGCCGTTGGTCAAGTTGTTTCCGTGAGGCTCTGATCAAAACTTGGTCATGATCTCAACGCGATACCAGATGCCAGGCGGTTCACTCTTTCTGGTTCCCCATGAAGCCATGTAAATACTGATTATCTCATCATCTTGAAAACCTCGTATTTACTCATACTATTAGCTTTGTGTTACTGATCTTCAATGTTGTTCATGCCGTTACACCTCAAAAAGCAGTGTCATCGACAAATCTTGCCCCAGGTTGAGAATTGGAGGTGGTGGAGACATTTTAGACTCCCCCATGTTTCGTTTATGCGCTCCAATCAGCGACCCTCATTCTGAGGTTTTACTGGGCCTGAGCGGAGATTTCCTGGAGTTGAGTGGTAATTCCCACGTTTTATTCTCGTGACAGGGATAATTCAGCGACAGGCAGCAGTTTAAACAAACATCGGCATGCGGCTCCGATGCTTTTCATGCTACGTTGGAGCTTCAAAGTCTTGACATCGAGTCATTTTCGCATCGGTCGTGTGATCTGTTGTTGCAAGGGAGACAGATACATCTGCGGAGTGTCCGCTTTTTCACTGGCTTCTCCAAGTTGGGGAGAAAACACAGGACCTTGATCCTAGATGACAAAAAGACTTAGGTAATATAGCCTAAGATTAGGATAACTTTTGATGAGTTTATTTTAACACTGCATCTTAGGGTTCGCTGTTTTCTTGCCCCCCAAGGAGAGAGGGTAGATCAGTGGAGTATCTTCGCTGGAGGTCTTTAAGAGAAAAATGTTTGCCGACGTGCCGGACAATGCCGCTATGACATCGTTTCCTGATTCAGCTGGGAATAGAAGCGTGGAGCTTGTGTTGGAGCAAACAAGAATTCAGCTTGCTTGGCCGATCAAGTTTTGCTGATGGCTGGGATTGTCTCGGGGATAATTCCGCGACACGTTCACAGCGCCGTTTGCCTGCCCAGAACTGCGGAACGAGAAGGGCGGAGTTTCCTGAAGAAGGTATCACGGGCAATGCTCAATGAAACGTGTAAGGTGAACTTCAATTTTCTTCTTACTGTGGTCGCGAGATGTCATTGTTCCTAACGGCCGAAAGATTGACCTTCGGCCGGACCGGATTCAATTGAAGCGGCACAGCAAGGTTTCGGGAATAATTCCAATATGTGAGACGGAAGTGATTCAGCATAAAACAGCACAGCAACGATATGGGCCAGAAACACGCTGGAAAACTCTCAGTTCTCCGAGACTCCAAACTGCGACGACATCTCATAATCCTGTGGCCATGCATCACCAAGATTGCCTTTCTTCGCGAAGCATCAGTGGGGGATTACACCGGACGGTAGTTGATGGTGACAGGGTTTCAGCGGCTTCCCCAATGTTTTAGGGCGCAACAAGGCGATCATCACGAGTCATGCCCAGTTACCCAGCTACCCAGCAGGGGACCGTTAAATCGGCAGAATCACAACATTCGGCAAGTAAAACGACGAATTGTCCTTGATCATTTGGTTGCTGATATGTTCTGACATTTTCAAGAACTTTATTGTACTTTTCTACGGCTATTTTCACCCTGGAACACGTCCAACTGCTCCCGACGCCTCGTTTCCGTCAACTCCTTGGAGTTCCACGTGCCAAACACAATCGTACAAGGTGGCAATCCCTCGACAACCCAATAATTCTTCAGTTGACGGATGCAGTTTTGGAGTTGGCGGTCTTAGACCCAGTATCGGAAGATATATCACCGGTTTCTTCGGACAAAAATTGAGTTGGGGCTTCAGCTTGAGGACTGTCATTTGTTAGCTGGTGTTCCATGCTATTCATCACGTACATGTACTTACTCTCGGTGCTTGAGCCATAGATGAAGGGCATGCGTCGCAATGAGCAGACCAATAGCACATCCCAAAGCAAATGGGTAACCTTTAGGGAAGCGAGGCCCTTCGACGGTCGGGAATACAAGCAAAGGTGTCCAAGCTGTTGTCGACTGCGAGATCGCATTGATCAGGACAAGCGTGAAGGACCGCTCAGCTGGAGATGCTCGAAGTTGCGTATTGACCCAGCCGTGAAGAACACTTGATAGCGCGACCGACGCGTAGATGGTCGAATATGCGAACCAGAGGGCTGATTCCGGGACGTTCCAGATGGTGAGGATTATAAGACCGAGCGCGTTCCATACAGTCGAAACAGTGATAGCCCACGCAGGCCCCAGCACAAGATCTGACGCAAAGCAAACGAAGAGAGTGTAGAAAATGCCCAGGGCTGGTGCGATGGTACCCAACTCGTTGACCTTGGCCTTCGAATAGCGGTTCAGACTTTTAATCCACAAGAGAAAAGAGCCCGAGCTACTGTGAGTTCCAGCGTTCCAGAACAGGACATCGACGAGAATGATACCCCAGAATTGCGGTGACAGAACGACCTTCTTCAGGTGTCCTAGCTTCATCTTTCCATGACTGCTGTGGCCCGCTCGTCTGAGTCGCTGCTCACCAACATCGATGTCATGCTGGTTCAAAACGCGACGGTTCGGTTGATCAGGTGTTCCTGGGATGACGAAATATCCAGCAATGCCGACCGGAATGGTGATCAGCGCGCAGATGATATACATCCAGCGCCAACCCTCCAATCCATTCACACCATCGAGTCGAGCTGAAGCACCGGCTTGAATGAGGCCAGCGGTAAGTGTTCCGAGCGATAAGCCGACGTAGAAGATACCGCCACGGCGAGCAATTTCGTTGCCTCTGTACCATGAGCCAAAGAGATAGTGCATAGTAGGGAAGAAAGCTGCCTCAAACCATCCGACGAGGAATCTGTAAGCTGCCAGTTCGGCGAAACTGTTGACTCTGTATTGAAGAAGTGTGAAGACTCCCCAACAAACGTCCAAACCTGGGATCAACCAGTGGATGGGGACATAGGTGAGAAGGAAGAAGAAGGGGATCTGGCCCAAGACGGCGCCGATGATGTAGAATGTTTGTAGTTGAACAAGTTCATTGCCTTTGAAGCCCAGGTCCTCTTTTAGACCCGCGACGTACGCATTATCTACAAAGTATTAGTCAAAAGTCTGGAATGAGGGCGGGATATGTTTGGCGACATACTCAAGTTGGACTGATCAATGTACTTCACCCAATAAGCTATCACAGCATACGGGACAATAAGAAGATCAAGCTTAATGATAAACTTTCGCTCCTCCGGTGTATCTGTATCAGAATACCACTGGATATGATACCACTTCTTTTCTTTGGCGACAGACATTGTGATGGATGTGCAGATGAAGGATTATGCAGGACGGCGGTTGGGGCGATGGGCCAGGGGCTTTAAAGCATATGCGAACGCAAGCAAGGATCCGAAAATTGGGATATCGAGAGGCTAGATGCGTTCTTTATCGGGCTGGGTGACACTAGGCGTGGGTGCCATGTGCACATTGATAGATAGTGCTTGCTTGGCGTATTGCATGATTTGACGACACTTTGATGCGACGACCGACGTCGGGGAACGACAGATCTGGATTCCGATCATAGATATGGAAATTTATAAGATCAATCTCCTGTATCAGGTACTTGGCAGACCACTCCGTATCTCTGTCCTTTCTCTTCCTGTCAGCCATCCAGATGCCCATGGCGCATCTGGAGACATTTGCAGATCTGCAGTTTCGAGTTTTCCGATTCATGCAGTGAGATATTGAAACCAATCAAAATAATCGACCGGACCAGTAGCGATATCGATAATTACTTGTTTTGGGCATAAATGCTTGTCGAGCTCGTTATCGTGGTGAGAATATGCTCTCAGACGCGGGGCGAATTGCGTGCTCCCAATGTCGCAATTTCATCCCTGTGCAACGTTTCGTGGCGGGCTGGGGCAATTGGCGCCAATAGAAACTATTGATATGATACTTTATTGGAATAAGATATACATGGATTTTGAGGGACATGTACTGTCGTAGGTTAGCAGATCCGTGGAATTGAACGCGTCGAGGCAGATGCCATCCTGTGAGAAGACAGGTTTCGGCGCGACTTACATTTTTGACAGACTGACGCGCAACATTCTAAAGGCTGCGAACGACTGAATAAGAAATATCAGCATGTCTGAAGTTCGGTATTTGTCGTCTAGCTGTGGTTGATCTTAAGTGCAATACAAAATGGAAGGAATCGAAGATGTGAGTGAGCCCAGCAACAGGACAAGCGGCGGCAGAGTTGATGAGACTGAAAAGGACCAGACTTCGCAATGTTATGATGAAGTGCTTCATAAGGCTCGGTCACTTGGAGGCAACCTTCAATGAGATTCCGTTCGGTCACTTCGGTGGTCCGCTGTTGGTAACAAATTTTAAGCAACGAGGCTGGTCACCGGGTGACAGTTGCACAGATTATCACAGCGCGTGGGATCAACTGGATCGGCACACGAGCGCTACCGCGAAATGCCCGCCCAGGGGAAGGGTTATATACCAAAGTCACACTCTACCCTTCAGCGAAGAGTGGTCGAGTGGTATCTGCCTGCCTAAAAACCTATAGACCCTAAAATCCGCTCCTAAAAACCTTCCTCCCTCGGCCACTATTCGTTTTTGCTCGCGGGTTCGAATCCTGCCCCCAAAACGGTTTTTCTTTTGGCACTGCACTGAGACTATTTGCAAGGCCCAACAACTCCAAATGATTTCTCAAAGTCCAATCGTGTATCTAATCGCAAAGAGCGGAAGCCGAGCAATGACTATAGGTGATCTAGCGCTCGACCATATTGAAAGTCGAGACGGTCGAGTTCTTAGAGAGACGAGTCTGCATACGATCTCAGCGTCTCTTCGGATGATCTGAGAGAGTCTCATCCACTTACCAAATTGCCACAATAGGGGCAGGAGTGGCCAGGCATGACCCAAACTTGCTTCTCAGTCGTCGTGCACTTGGGGCACAAGACACCAGGCATTTTGGCGTCAGGGGAAGAGCCATACGATATTCCGGGGTCCCTACCAGGCATATCGATGTTGTGTAGGCGGTGTGATGCTGAGTCTGTTGATGTATAGTGGCAATGAAGATTTCTGGGGGAATTTGGCCGATGCAAGAGACTGTGGAGTTTGAGATGAGGAAGACGAACTTGATGGGATGGCAACTCTCGCTTGTGTTCATATTCACTGGTAGTGTTTGGAATTCCGGTGGGAAGCCTTATAATGGTGATCGCTGGATTGGCGCCTGTTCGCTTGACAAGATGGTTTGTTCGCTTTCTCAAGCGGTGCACTCTTTGGGATGTCAGTGGCGGAACACCAACTGGGACGCATTACCGAAGATTGCCACATAGCCATATCTACATTCCGGCAGGTCAAAACATGTTTGGGCCCTCTGACCTTGCGATAAGCTTGTCAATCACTGCGCTGAGGAAGCAAAATCCCAAGTCAACGTAACTCCATTATACTCTATCTCTTTCGTATACGGGGTATCTCTCAACATTTCTTCAAAACATCAATGATCCATTCAAGTCCCTCCTTACTCTCCTTCAACCCATACTTGTATGCCAACGGGAAGCAATGCATCTGATCACCCCAAGACAACCACTCTCCATCAATGCCTTCCTTTCTACATCTCTCTCTGAACTCAACAGCCTCTGGCCCAAGAACATCATGAGAAGCTGTAATACCATGGATCTTGACATTGTTCCTGATACAGACGCCTAGGTCGGCATGGATGGGTGAGACTCGGGGATCATCGGCGGACCAGTTGAGCTTTTCATTTCGATCTGTTGTTTCCTTGCTCGTTCCGTTTTGTTGATTCACGTCTGAGTGGCCTGGGGCCCATGCACCGGCTGTATCATTGATGGACGACTCGCTCAAAATAGGATCGACCTTGTCCACCTTTTTGATGTCGGGGTGGTTGTGACGTAGATCGGTAGTCGCAGTGATGGCGAGGATGGCGGATGGAGGTCGAACGGCTTGCACATCTTGATGTCTCATTGTCCAAGTCACCAGGCATAGAGCGATGTTGCCCCCTGAACTGTCTCCAGCGACAATCACCCTCTCGCCAAGGTCAGATGATTCCTTCAACAAGACGTTGTAGGTCTTGCAGATGGCTGGGAACGCATCTTGAACGGGGTCCTTGGGTGCTAGGGGATAAGAGACGAGTGTGAGTCTGGTATCCTGCAGACGATTTATCATCTCTGCGCAGAAAGTCCAATGTTGGCCTGCAAACGTCAGTAAGGTTCCTGGCAAGAAAACAGCCTACTTACCACTTGGAGGTGCTTGCCATCCACCTCCAGCGAAGTACAATATCCTTCTGGAATAGGACTTCTTTTCTCCACCAGAAGTCTTCGGGGTCATATCATACGTCCAAATGCCCTCGACCTTGTTCTCTTGAACATCACATCGCTTCCTCGCTCCCCTCGAGGGCTTGCATCGCGTAGGATCAGCAGATGAAACCTTCCTAATCTCTACCAGCTTTGGTTTGATAGGTTGGATAACATTGTGAAGAATCTTTGTCGGCCAAGACCGTCCAGAGCGTTCATCGACGTGAAACTCTTGATCATCTGAACTGAACTCATCATCCGAATCACGGTAACCATCAACGGTCGGGGGGTTGACAGTTTGGGTCGCCATCGGGAATAATGATATCTTGTAAGGTTGAACCCTGAAGATCGGGGACGATGGAGGGGTAACAGTAACACAATAGTTGCAAAATAAAGCCGTCATTCTTTTCATCAAGGGAGACCCTGATCGGCATACGTCATTGATCTGACATCATTGACTCCGCTTGCATGCAACCCCAAAAACAGGCGTGACAAAAAGACTAGCTGCTTTTAGACGCCATTTTTACCTGATCTTTTGACAAGTTGAAGATAAGGAATTGACCAAGAGACGGTGACTAATTGTTTAATTCGATTTGAGTTATTGATGACGCTTTGGCATTCGCTAATGCATTAAGGGTTTGGCTAAGCAAGAAGCTTGTTCGGCTTTAGCAGTAAAATTGGATCAGGCCAAGATCTCCACATCACCAAGCAAGCTTTACGCCATCGCGATCTTCACCCGTCGTTCGATCAGATCTTTAACGTTGTGGACCAGGCAACGGTACGAAGGTTTCGGCACTCAAAAGTAAGAATAATTAAATCGCTAAACAACTAAAAAAGATACCGCTTGCTTGCTGTTTTGTTCAATCTGATGCCCATGCGCTTCGCTGCAACTCTACAAAACCAACAACACAGAATCCCGCTCGTCGCAAAATACAAATGTAACATCGAATCATTTGACCACAGTGATCTTAATTCCTCTCCTGCGACAGGCCTGACAGCGAAGATCGTCTTCTATTCGTCTCGGTTCGCATTCTTGCCTCAGCTTGCTTCACAGCTTCCTCCCAGTCTGTAAAGTACAGATACATGGCCTCAAGGCCAGACACCCTGCACAAAAAGTCAGTGACAAGTCTTCGACAAGCGGATGAGAATAGAACTTACACAGCAAGACCCGCTGTGAGACCGACCCATAGTCCAGCTAATCCCCAACCCAGTCCGAAACTGGTGCCGAGGGCAATTGGTAAAGCGACGACGTAGTATGCGAAGAGGTTGGCGTAGGATCCAATAGACTGGCGTCCGATGCCGCGAAGAAGGCCATGGGAGACGGCTGCTAACGCATCAAAGATTTGCATGACAGCGCAGACGAGGATGACGTTAGATGCGATGTCGATGACTTGCTTATCTTCCGTGAACACGGCCGGGATCTGTCTTCGGAGGGTCGTGAAGATAGTCAGGTTGATGCTTCCGACAATGAGGGCAGCGAAGATGGCCTATGAAGTCAGTAAGAGTGCACTGCGATGAAGATGAGGCTTAACTCACCACTTTGGCTGTTACTCGTGCAGCCTTGCTCAAATCAGCCCCAATAAGGTTTGCAACTCGAGTCGAGGTCGCGATGGCCAGTGGGAAGGGGATATTGAAAGACATCGAGGTTACGGTCACTAAGACGCCTTGAGCTGCTAGTTGCGCTGTACCGAACCGTCCTGCGGCGATGGTGAGAATTTCCAGTACGGAGAACTGGGCTTCGATCATGATCATTCCCGGCAAGGCCAATTTGATCATAGGACCTGCGACAGTCAGATAAGGATGTCTTGACGAGTCCGAATTTGACTCACCCCAGTTTGTGAACGCCTTGCGGCTGAAACCCTTCCAGCACTCATACCCTTCAAAGAGCCGCACATACAGAATGAGAAGAATTGGAAGGAGGTTGTGAGTGACAGCCATCGCGATGGCGGCACCAGGAAAGCCCCATCCGAACTTGAATACAAACAGCCAATTTTGTAAGAAGCTCAATGGCGCTCCAACAAAAAGCGTATAAGTTGTAGCATGGAATAGACCCTGACTCTGAACGAACCTCTTTGCGCTCTCAAAAGCACTGACACCAGGCATACCTGCGATGAGAATGCGCATGTACAAAGCAGCCAATTGTGTTGTGCGGCCTGGGCCAACGGCTGCAGCGAGGATGGGTTCAGAAAACCACCAGACGACAGCGATGGGAATCATGATTATCCAAAGGAGCCATGTCATCCTCTGCGCCTGTAAGCCAACGAGATGTTTGTGGCCAGACCCGTAGGCCTGTGCGCACAGTGTGTCGAGGCAGGTTGCCAGGCCTTGAACTGGGACGTAGTAAGTGATTGAGGCAGTCATCGTGGCCACTGAATATGTTAGCATGTGTATCAGACTGGGAATGATGCTGAAGACTTACAGTTGACAGCGGCGAGTTCCTCCATTCCAAGACGACCGACAGTTAAAACAGAAGCGACAGTGACCGAGTAACTGTGAACGGTCAGTGTCATGATTCACTTGCATCTTCGCGGTACCTACTGTAAGAGAAAGGTGACAATAAGAGGCAGCGCATATTGAATCAACGTCTTGGTCTCACGCTGCCACGTCGTATCGATCTTATGCGACGCCAGTGCCTCCTCCCAACGCTTATGGACCTCATCCGGCCCCGGCGTCGGCGGAATCCCATCAAACCTGACAACTCTCTCCCTCAACAACGGCGTTGTCTCACCCGAATCTTCTGATGCGAAGAGCGGCTTGTCGTGATCGTGCACACGAGTACTAAACAGGTGTCGATACAGACGGCCAAGCTTCGTGGTCTTCCATCCTGTCGGTGGGTGTCTCGGTGGAATGATATCATTGTCGCGGAGGAGGGAGACTTCGGCGCGGAGGGATTGCTCAAAGTCGTGGGGGTTTGGGGGCGGGATGTCGATGCTTGAAGGGGGAACGGTAGAGAAGCCTTGTCCGAAGGCAATACCTGTTGGATGAAAGGCAAGTTGAACGTCTGTTTCGTTTACGTATCGCGGGTCTTCGATAGCTTCTTCATCGCGGTGTTCATCTCCAGAGGAGCACTCGTCAATATCACGGTTCAGAATCTCCTCCACATTTGGAGCTGGGTCGATGAATGGGGGAGGAAATGTAAGATCGTCTGGAATAAAATCAGCAAAGATAGAATGTCTTCTTCCTCGACGTTCCCCGTCGGGATTAAACGGTGAGCTCGTAGGCAGCGACATGTTGCTTAACCAGCGAGAGTCGACGACGCGCGATGGAAGAACTCCAAAGCTAGAGGTGGTGATGTTTTTACATCATCTCAACGAACACAATGACGTGATCCCAAAAGTGAGATAACAAAGTCGGTGAAAGATATCTGATGTCAATTGATAACGACTCACACCCTCTACAGGGCGCCACAAACCGACCAGTGGCATGCCAACTGCTGCAAACGATGACACCCTCAGCCTAGACCCCGCAGCACATGACATGCATCCTCACTACGGATGTGCCACTAATCAAGGTTCAGGCCCGGACGGTTTGCCCCGAAGATAAGATGTTGGTGTGTTGCACCCAGAAACGGGTGGGGTGAAGTCATTTGTGAGATGGATGAATCTAGATTCTTTACTGATCGGCGCTTTTTTTTGGTGTTTTTTGACGATTGGTGCAGCCACTGGATTTCACGTGCGGCGATCATTGGTTAGTGGCTCATTCGACGACGCGCATGAAGAATTGATTGGAAAACGTACGAAGGATAATTGTATGACTTCATCTTCAAAACAGAAAAAGGCTGTGCATTTTGTCAGTACCACCACGTTCTACGGTATCAAAGTGGGATTTTAATAGGGCCACAGAGATTCCATTGATTTATGTTACAATTCAGATACCTTTCACATGCTTCAGCAATTGTGTAGGGAGTATTGGTAACAGCCATGACTTGTTCAGTTGAATGACCAAGGAAGAAGCCAGCAATGTGCGAGCAGTACAAACAGATTACAACATCTGAGCCTGTCCCTCACATCATACACATAACCAACAGTGTCCTTCAATACGCCAACAAATCAATACCCTTCACTAATGCCGTCCTCGATGTCGTAGAGATTCTACCCATGATCCTAAAACCTCAGCACTCGAACATTTCGTTAGGGCCGCGCAGCAGCCTCCAAGCGAAACGCGGGGATGCCTGTTGCCATGAGATATTTCAGCGGCGAGACTGCGCCATCTGCCGCAAACCGGTTGTACAAATTGCCGTCGGCGTCAGCCTCGTCAGTTGTAAGAACGACAGGCTTTTGATCAGGATCGCCAAAAAGAAAACAAGGAAGGAGAGAGTTTCCCCAGAGACCGTAGAAGTCCGCTTGGCTCACTTGTGTAATGGTTAGCTATTGAGTTCTTTAGTCTATATGATCAGTCAAAATGACTTACTGCTGCCGGCTTCGCCAATAACAACACCTCGAGCAATGGTACTCTTCCATTGAGAAATCGGCGATATTTCTGTGTCAGCAGGATGGACGCAAAGAAAATCCGCCTGGCGCATAACTTGAAAAAACACATCCTTGATGTTTATAATAGGGGTGGCGGTGGCGGCATATGTCGCAGGATCCATCTGTCTAGTCACCCACTGTCTTTGTCAGTATGGTTCCAGCATTTGTTAACTAACCAAAAGTGGTACTTTACCTGACGCAGATGCAACATATCGGGGCGCGTGTCGATCTCGGCCTGGAGTTTTACCAGGCCTGGTTTCGAGTCTTGGTCGAGCGGTGGTAAGGCGCTTGTGCGCATGACTACCAAGAACCAGTATGCCAAAGACAGAGCCGCAGCAGCTCCCAAGGTTGTCGTTCCGGATCCCGATGGCTGGGATGATCAATTAGTATCAATCTGCGGTGGATACAAAGTGAAATGAGGGACTTACGCCGATGATGAGACCAATGTTGAGCTCACGGCCCAATAGATACTCGCGAAAGCGCTGTAGGTCATGGTAGCCTGCCTCTTCAGTGATGCATTGCATCAAGTAACGGTCATCGTACAGTCGGTAGCACATACTCGGAAGAGAGCCAATGCTCAAGCCGGTCCTATCCTGGGATAGCACTTCGTAGAAGCCCGTACCACGAAGAACGGCCCTGTGAGCCATCGTCTGGATCATTACCCTAAAGTACAGCTTCACTTGGTCCGCACTGAGCGTACGCGCATCTAGGGTGTTTCCTTCGTTGTCTAAGGCCATGCCCCACGCTTGTCGATTTGTTGGTGGATGGGTTGGTTTGAAGATACGCATGTTCTTGACCTTCGCTCTACTTCTGCCATTCCTGCATCAAAGACGAGGGATACGACGTGCTAGTTCTGTAATCTCCTGTCGAGGGCTGCGATGGCGGTTCTTTGATCGGGGTAGTGGCGCAAACCAATTCGGGGGGCGGAAGCTGTGCGGACGTGAATGATCAGGTCTGGGTCTTGGGCCAGATGCGCTCGTAGCTCTGGCGCCAAGCTGTCCCTTTCCATGATCCTCCCGGTCCTGAGAAGTACAATCGTCAGTTCATGTTTTAAGGCTTAGTGATAAAGGTCGACTAACCAGATGGCTGTCTCAGTATGGTCAGAAGTCAAGGCATCGTAAAACTTCACTTTGATAAGTGGATTGGCCATCAGTCGTGGCCAAGCGTGACTGTGGCTGTCGCTCCATGCCTTGAAAACTGGAATCACAAGATGTGCGGCTGTGCCTGGTGGCACTGGAACATCCGGGGAGGCGAAGTAGGCGGGCAGTCGTTCCTCGGCAATCTGTAGTCACGTAAGCCCCCATTCTCGTTGGTCTTATGATGTGGTACATACTATCTCCGCCTCGCGGTGGACCCAGAGGGTGTCTTGAATGACACTCTGGTTGATGGCGGTAATGTGAGCGTCATCGGTGTCGAAACTACCATGTTAATTAGTACACGCAGTGATCAAAGTGAACGGGCTTACTGACGAATAGCAGGCCGGAAATGCGCCGCCTTTGTTGTCGTCCACAAGTGTCTTCATTTGCTGTACGTTAACTGGCTGGTACGCGTAATCATATGTAAATGGCCCAGGGAGGTTTTGGTCCCCCATGATCTCCTTGCAAATGCTGATAGGAAGTTCAACGACGAAAGAGAAGGCGCGCTGATGTATCACCTCGAGGAACGATACACCGTCGATCCTCCCGTGGTAGTTCACCCAGGCTTGAAGTTTAGGGTCGGGAGAGTTGAAGTATTCTTTTCTGTATTCCTCGCTCGTTGGATTGGATGAATCTTTCAGCTTCACGACGAGGTAAGTCAAGCCTTGCCAGTCTTGGACTTTCGGGAATTTGTCTTTTATCTCTGCTGGTACTTGCAGATGAGTGCAGGAAGTTTTACCGCGCGGAAACTTTACTGTGACGGTGAAGTCCGATAGGATAGGCTTGTCGGTGATCGGGTCGTCTGGAATCAAACGTCAGATATGTACGTCAGGGGTTCTTGAACCTTGACACTTACATGCAAAGCATGCACCCTTGCCCTCCTTTTCACTCGCGACCTGGCCAGGATCACGAGGAAAGGTCAGGGTGAACCCAAAGTAAGGATTCGCACAGGGAGGGTTGGCCGTTCCCACGCGTGCTTCGATCTTTGTTCCAAGACCAAGACTGGGCGTTCCAGCAATGACTGTGCCAGCGTCGCCGAAACTCGTATAAAGTCAGAATTGAACTTTGCGAGAAGAGGGAGATACGAACACCAAGGCACATGGCTTCATTTGAGACTCGTAGGACATTTTGAGGAGTTACTTGCTCCACGCTGTTGTTGTTGTTATTGCTGTTGTTGTGGAGGGCAAGAAAGTAGGTTGTTGGGATGAGACGGGATAAAAGATGCATACCAGGTTGAGGTCGCAAGGAACGATTTCGTATGGGTTGCTAGGCAGTAGCCAGTGTCAAGTAGACAATCCGATGCCAGTGGAACAGACTGTAGTGGGGTTGCACCAGCGTCTCCCCTACTGGTAGAAATTGACAGCAGTGATGGGTCTGATGTATTAAACCATGGCAGAGCTCTTTGCCTTCGACATGGCCATGGTTTATCAATTTAGTGATGCTGATCCTACGACAATTCACGGACTCTCTAGGGTCAATGTCAGCAATTAGTTACCTGCAGTGGCAGAATGAAGAACACATGGCACGAGTTCATCGCTGCAAAAAGACGTGTTCAGGTGTCAGTCATATCAAGATATCGCCCGCTCAATCTGTCATAACAATCTTTCCTTTGGCCGTAGAGCACGCTGTAACATGATCAAAGCCAAGATACAAAACCTATAGCCAAATAGAGTGTTTGTTCCTTCGCTGGCATTTCTTAACCTCTTGGCTTGGCATAAGGGGCTGTTTTTCAAGTCTGCGACTTCAAGCAGTATTAATTTCCTTATTGTTTACGGGTAACCCATGTCCGAACTCTGTCCCGCTACGCACCTGTTCCGGTGCCGTCTACAGAACATTGCATATTTCACGTTGAGGGAGGGGCTGGATACAAATGTCTGACTACGTCTCGATCTGCTTGTTTGTGCTTCCTAACAATTCGGCAATTTCTAAATTCCTTGGCTTTTGAGTCGTGAAGAGCTATGCATGAGATGCTTGATGTCAAATTCATGAAACTGTGGCTGGCAAGCGGTATATACAGCGACAATGAGTGTGGTCTAAAGTTGTGGTGAGCAGAGCCTTTGCAGGTCATAGTGCAGTCTTCAGGTTTTGGTGTGTCCTGCGATTAACTTTGAGGTGACTTTCTTCATTGATTCCATCGCGGATCATGTGACACCCCGGAGTGACTGTCACCCTCTGGCTGCAGCGAGGAGTTCTCTCCACATTCGGAATCTACACACATTGTGTGGGTTGGCAATGCTCCATGGCCTGATTTGACGAGAACCTTAAGGAAGTCGCAGAGCCTTCGATGGGGAAGGTCAAGCGTGAGGAACAAACGCGTTTCTATCGCCGTATCAGGGTGGGTGGACGAAGAGTCAAGGGGCGTCACAATGGGGGCTCGCTTTCCCTTGTCCAGATTGCACTTCATGTAATTGGTTAAAGAAGAATGGCTTCAGTGTCCTTCTACGTTTCTGTATTTTGTCAAGTTCCTACAGGGGCCACCTTCATTGTTTGTGATCATTTCGATCTGTGAACTTAGTGTGAGGGGACGAACAGACAAGGGGACGAACAGACAAGGGGACGAACAGACAAGGGGGCGTCTTGATTGGAGTTTGACCGTTCGCCAGCATAGGGGCAAGAACATGGCAGTAGGCTCTCCTTGTGCATATATCAAGTGGCTTTCAAGGCAATCTTGTGCTGTGCCGTAGAGTGTACCTCGTTGTGGGCTCATGTCCAACCGCCCAAGGTTACCTCGAATCTCATGGTTGCCAGTGCCCTGATGCTCTGCCGGATCAATGCCCACTGTAACTCGTTTCATTGCCGTTCCCCTCCTTATGAGAGCATCCTGAGGCAAGATGCCTGGAAGCCAAAGCAGAGCAACCAGCTGAGCCTTCATCCAAAAGGGGCATGGTGCGGTCTGGCAACGTCCTGCCCTCCCTCTGCCACTGGCAGACTTCCAGCATCTTCTTTCCCAATCAAGCCCTAACCGATTGCACCGAGTTCCTCCCCGCACAAAACTCCTTTCCCCTCTTGATCTTCGAATGAAACCTCCTCCTCTTCATCTCTTACCTTGTGTTCACTCCACCAAGCCAGCACTTTGCTGTGCACTCATCATCACTATCTCCCCTCACCATCACGCGACGTCAGTCCCTCAGTGCATGCGTGCTCTTAGCCTCTGATGTCGAGAATAAACACCGAATCTCTCTCAAAGTTAGTTGAGCAACATCCAGTATGTCGATTGATCCAGTGAAAAGCTCAAGCTGACTCCGTCCCAAACAGAGCAACTCCCAACCCATCACTCTCCGAAATCCCCTCTCCCCTTTCATCTCTTCCCAAATTCCCTTCCACCTCAACCGGCTCCTCTCGTCTTCCATCGTCAGATCTCGCGCTCCTCGGGACACTGGAAATATTCCCGTGTTGCGGCGGGTAAAGACTTGGATGATGCA